CAGATAATCAATATAATGAACTTTTAAACGTGTATTATTGATTAATTTACATGTAGACACATTAGGGCATTCAAATGTATATGAATAACTATTATTTCCACTTTTATAAAAACCTTTTATAAGAAACATTAAATGATTTGTTTGGAAAATGTTTTACAGGTTGGCACATGAACTCTTTAAAGGAGGAAATTAAACTTTTACCCTAAATGGTGAATGTATCTCAGGAAGTCTGTAAACTGGAAAATAAAGGTCATATTTTGAAAAATAATCATAACATTATGTTATTTTAGTCAAGATACATCAGAAAATAGTAATGTATTAGCACAAACAATATATGTATATATATATATATGTAAAAGATCCTCCTTTATAAATATAATCAGACTTAAAAAAGGAAGCAGATGAAATATGTGATGTCAGATCCATGAAGTGTCCTGAAACTTTGCTAATCAGAAACCTCTTCAGATGTTTCGTGAATAAAGATAATGTAGATACTGATGGTAGTGATCAGTGAGACAGTGAGACAGACAGTGAGACAGACAGCATCCTGAGCTGTTTATCTCTAATGAGTTCATGTACGAGGTGATTTTAACAACCCAGCAGCCGTTTACTGTCGACCGCTGCTAAAACCTTCCTCTGGGACTCCTGCTGAATATTCAGGTCACCGCTCGCTGCTGAGGAGGATCCAGGTAAAAAGGCTGCTGTTGTAATGGTGAATAGCAATTACCCAGCAGCCGATGAACAGAGACCTGCGGTGGTCTTTATTTAAGGGGAGGATGGAGGTACAGTGTGTCTAACAGTGTAGACATTCAGTGGGATTAATGTTCACTGGAGGGAGTCCGCCTCCTCCTGCTGGGCTGTCTCTGTCTGATATCACAGTGACACCAAGTGGACGTCTGGAGAACTGACACACAAACACAGAGACATTATGTTGTTTATAAGAGCTGCAGAGTCTAACAGAGAGAACAGTCTATCAGTCAGAGAGAGAAGAGAAGAGGGTTGTGAATTTAAACATGTATCTGTATGAATTTAACAAAATCAACAACAGAGAATTTTACAGAAACATATTTCACAAAATCCTCAACGGATGTCACATTTTTTTCCTAATGGCCTTATTTATCTAATTTAAGGTATTTGTTTATTTTTTTTGTTCATCCCTTCATTTCTAATACGTATTATATATATATATACATATTGCCTGACCAAATTTGTAATTTTCTTTGTTGAATTAAAAACAAAAACAAAACAAAACAAAGGAAACTGGACCCACAGCAGTAAACAGTGTATAAACTGTAGAGCTGTTCTATATGGAGTTCATTTAATCAATAAGGTCCTTTGTCTGTCCAACAGCGTGGGAGAAGCAGTGATTGTTAAGGTGGAACTGCTTTATTCAGTGTGTTTAAGGTGGAACTGCTTTATTCAGTGTGTTTAAGGTGGAACTGCTTTATTCAGTGTGTTTAAGGTGGAACTGCTTTATTCAGTGTGTTTAGTGGTTTTAATCAGCGGGTCTGTTTGTGTTGGAGAGGAGGAGACCTCTGTGGATCATTGGGCTCCCGGTAGAAACCTCCTGAACCATGAACACTGAAGGAATCCTAACCGGGAGAAGCTGACTGCAATGACGCCAATGGTGGTGAAGACTCCCATGATCCCTCACTGCTTCACCACCTTAATGCACTTCCTCCTTTGTTGTTTTGATGTGAGAGACCTCCTCGTGGCAGACATATTCCACACTTAACCACAGACATGTAGATGTGTTATTTAATTAAAACGTGTTCGTCTGCAGTTAATGAGCTCTGGATGTGGCGTTCACTGACCAGCTGCAGTGCGTTCTGGATGTGGCGTTCACTGACCAGCTGCAGTGCGTTCTGGATGTGGCGTTCACTGACCAGCTGCAGTGCGTTCTGGATGTGGCGTTCACTGACCAGCTGCAGTGCGTTCTGGATGTGGCGTTCACTGACCAGCTGCAGTGCTGCTCTAGTTTGCAATTCAAATTCCTCGGCAGCTCCAGAGTGAAAGTTTGATGAACACCCAGAGAGACTCTGTCTCCAACTAACTGCAGGTTGTTGAGTTTCCTGTCTGACACTGTCTGTCTGTCTGTCGTCTGTCTGTCTCCTGATGATTCTGTTGCAGGATAATTAGTCCACTGAGGTTACTGACAAAACACTTCACTGACAACATCCTGGCTCCTGTGCGAGGCTGTTTCCCCGCAGGAGAAGCAGCAGAGCAGGAACAGTGTGTAATGATCAGCGCTGGTCAACAAGCAGACGAACAGGAACGTACCGAAGAGGAAATAATGACAATGCTAATTAGTTTACAACTAATGTTTTCTTTTATCTTCCTCTGATTATCGTTGTCTGCGCGTTGCACAGTCTAAGATCGTACAACCATCAGTTGTCACAATGCCCACTATGCAGCTTAGTCATAATTTATGTAACATTACAACAATTTTAACATTAAATAACTGAGAACTCATTGATTCTGAAATATGTATGTAAAATAAATATGTCAAGTCATCTTAATAGGTTAAACATGAAGAATATTATTTGAAGATCGCCTGATTTTCGTCTTAATTACTTAATTAACTGTTCAAACATGCAAAAATAAGAAAAACTGTTTTATTTATAATTTAAAATTGGGGTTCGATTTTGCTCAGAAGACACTTTACACTACCTATATATCTGTTTATGCTAATACAAACAGAGGTCATTATCAGTCATGATTGTAAAGCCATGACAATGACTCAGAGAATACATATTTAACAAGCACATACACAACACATTTAGTTGGCCAGTTAAAAAAACCTTTACACTTTCTCAGTTTCATTTCAGTTGCTGCAGTTAACCTGTAGAGGGCAGTATTGTCACCACTTAAATAAATGCATGGCTGCAAGATAAAACCTCCAATTTACTGATTCACATAAACCTTTTAAACATTATTCTGATGAGCTGTGTAATAACGTGGGGACACGAGTTGGAACAAGCTAACTCAATGTAGCACATTTGTTGCCACTATTAAAAAAGATTGATGCAAACTGTTGCATTCATTTTTTTTGTTGAGCCAAAACATTTACTCAATAGGTTACTCAAATTTAACCGGCTTGCTCGAATGAAAAGTTAAACCCAGTGCAAATAGGAGTATATAGCAGGTCTGAGGCTGTAGACACTGAGATGCTGTCATAAAGCTTAGTACAAGGAGTTGCTCCCGGTGACCAAATTCAGGGAAATTCTTGGAAGTATGATGTAAGAATTTCCCCTTGGACCAGATCCTGGTAAAGATATTCACAGAACCACTCAGGCCTGAAGAGAGCTCCTCCAGCTGGGAGGGAGGAGGACTTATAAAGAGGCTCAAGGGCTTCAGGTTAACAGGGACAACCACAGCTCCTCACAAGGTTATTGTTTTTTTATTTGTTTGGTGCAAAGAAAGTAAAAAAAACAACGTAAAATACCACAGAACTGTCAAAAAATATAGATATAGATATTCCAAATATTCACACTTCAGTTAACTTTATTTGTGCCATTAAATTCAATATTAGACAGCCACAAGATAAAGAAAGCAACATTTATTCACACAATGAGCACACGCAATGAAAACTCAGTTATTCGATTATTTTTCTTTTTAGACAAAAAAAATTAAACTAATTTCCTAGAAACCAGACTTTTTTACTTTCTTGAGATCCTTTTTGCATTGCAGAGGCTCCTCCCAGAGGTCAGAGGTCAACAACTCTTTAGTTACAGAGGGCCCAGACTGTGTAAAGCCTAGTATAGTAATATTACTCCCAAACAAAACATTACAGGGAGCCAATATAGAGAAATTACAACTGGACTAACGTGTGATCTACGCTGTGTTTAGGGAGTGAAATATCTGCCTCAGTACTTTGTTTTCTTCTGTCAGTTACTGCAGGATTTCTCTCCCTGTTTTTGGGATTGTTGCGGCCTAAAATGTCCGATTTCACCGCAGCTTTTCTAAAAAAAGGCATGTTGTGATGTTTTTAGGCATTTTTTGGAATGAAAGTGGGAGAAAGTTAAAATTGCCAAAATAATTTGCTTATTTTTTGTATAATTTATTAAAAATCAAAGAACTTGTTCCAGTCAGAATAAAATCAGGTTGTGAGTTTACCAAAACAGTTCAGGATTACAAAAATATGCTTCATTTGTAAATGAAAAAGCTAAATAAACTATTAAAAACAAACCCTGGATTAGCTGGCCACACTACAAACATATGATGATCTTATAATATGACGGAGATTGGCTGAATTTGCGTTAATTGTTGTGATCGCAACTTCCCAGAAGGCCTGGCTAATTAGCTAATATTAGCATGCTAACACACCAAACTAATTTGGTCATAGTAAACATAACCTGAACATCTGGGACCGTACTCACACACATTCTGAGAAAACTCCCAGAGAGCCTCTGAGTGGCAAAAAAGACCTCAAGGAAGAAACATTTACCTGAGCAATGAACAGATATATACTGATTATAGTTTGGTATTATTTTGGATTCATTCATTAGTTTCCAGAGCGCACTTTTAAAACCTGACAACAACTTATTATCATTGTAATACTCTAAGCATTATAATGCTGTATAACTTCAGTTTATTAATCATCATAAGCCCAATAATGCATCCATATAATTCTTAATGATCTCTTAAAGTGTAAAGATTTGATGTTTGTCACATAAATAAAAAATAAAACTAATTGGCTACCATTTTAATACTCAATTAATTATATATTGTTTTTACCGTAGATCAGCTGTTGGATATGAGTCAACTGACTGAATGGAATTAGTACAATTAACTTAATTTACATAAGTTACCTTAACAGTAAAAGTTACTTCTACTCAAATCAAATGTTTTTTCATGCTGAAATTGTAACTTAAATGGTTTAATGTGATCGGTTTCCTCAGTTTGAACTAACTCATGAGGTTTTACAGTGTAGTCAAACAGTATTACTTTCATCAAAAAGGACCAAAGCAACAGAATAAGCAGCAATAAAGAAACTCAACGTGGTTTAAGAGTCTTTAATGAAATGAACCGTGTGCATTAAAAATATAAAGATATATTTATAAAGTTTGACGCATCAGAAACAAAAACCAAACCAGAGTTTTTGCATTTGGTTCGAGCAGCTTAGCTTCACATCACACATACTTTGCATAAATGCTGCTCACTTTTCAAAACAATACAGGGAGACTGCAGACAGAATTCAGTTTGCATTCATTTCAATAACAGAAACCTGCTGCAGACGGACTGAAAAACACAATTCAGTGAACGTCATGTGGGCAGAGTTAGAGGAACCGACTCATGTCTGTCCATTACAGACAGCAGCCGCTTAGCTTAGCTTAGCATAAAGACTGGAAGCAGGGGGAAACAGCTAGCCTGATTGTGTACAAAGTATGTTTTATTTTCAAGCTTTAATAACCAGTTTCAGCAACAAAAGTCTGCTCAGTTATTCATCTGCAGAGCAACCCGGTCACATGACAGACCGAACCGAGAAGAATCCGTTCTCGGTTTTGTGGCGAGAGATAAAACCTCAACAACAAACACAAACAGCGCTCAGATCACATGACTCAAGAAAGCTAATGTAGCAGCTAACATCTGTTACTTTTCGACCAAAAAAATAACCTTTATTTACACTCTAATAATTCCAGTTTCATGTTAGACTTTACACAAATGTTGTAATTAAATCAACGTATGAACCGCTTTGTTCAATCTGCACAACAACCAAAGAGTCCAATGATCGTTTGCTGTTGTATGTGGGGTTCTGTGTCTCTGACAGACATATAACGTTAATTACTGAGCTTTAAAGGAGCTCGTAAGGTGGATTTTGTTACAGAGCCAGGCATCTGTTTTCCTCTGTCTCCAGTCTTTATGCTAAGCTAACTGGCTGTGGTTTCATATTTAAGGTAAAGACATGAGAGCGGTATCAATCTGAACCTCCAACTGTCAGCGAGAGAGTGAGGGTCCACACCACACACATAACAACGGATTACACAAACTTTAACACACATGAATAATCTAAGAACCACAAACACAGTTGCATTGTGGGAACTGACGGGCGTTAATGCGAAGTACATGCGATGTTTGTTGAATCAGCTAAAACCAGAGAATAACTGCGGTTTGTTTTCTTTAAGCAGCTTCAAAACACTGTGCAAGTCTATAATTAGATTAATTAGTCTGAGCTTCATAAACAGCCGAGTCTTCAGCTGCAGACACACACACACACACACACACACACACACACACACACACACACACACACTATACAGTTCATTACTGATCATCATTCAGTGTCGTCAGGGTCACACATTATCCACGGTGGAGGCAAAAAAGTTGTCCTTTTGCATCTATTTGTTGTTTTGCTTTCATTACAAATGTGTTATTTGGCTGTTTAGATCCACCAGTTCTTTTACATCATAAATAGAAATGTATGTGTTTTTGTATTTTCCCTAACATAACAGCGAACACTGAATGATGGTCAGTGTGTACCACAGTTCGCGTTGTCCGCCTGCATCATAGACTGCAGTCATCAGCAGAGACGACAGAAACAACGGAAACATAAAGTCAGACAGAAACATCCTCCAACAGGAAGAAGAAACAAAGTCTGACCGCCTGATATGGTTTTTCTTTCAAATAAAATCAAACTCTCTGTGAGAATAAAAATAAATACATAATAAAAACAAAGTCAAGGAATGTATAGATAGAAATACAACACTGTTCAAACGAACTTTCACCAGTTACCATAGAAATATTCAACATTTTTACAGTGATGTAAGAAATAAGATCATTATAATTGTGTATTATCAATAATTTTACAAGATATGTTCCAAGTCTGTACAGCTCTTGAAATGATAATGAACAAAATGAATAAAGTGCAATGGAGAGATATCTTTTTGAAATGTTCCAACGTTTCCCACCAAACAGTCTGTGTTTTATTACTGTCAACAAATCCATGAAATGATCAAAATAAACAATGAATTGGTTGTTTACAGCGGTTAAGTTAACGTTACTGTCGTTCATGTCCGTCCATCTGTGAAAATCTACATTACCTAGCCAGGCTAAATCAGCTTAGAACCAGACATCCAGCATTAAGGCTGTATCGGAGGTTTCTCTGACATTGGTATTAGTATCTGAACAACCCTAATTAAAACTCACAGATTATCCCTCCTGCCCAAAATCTGATCCCTCTCATAGTCCTTGTCCACCAGTGGGGAGCCGGCTCACAGCATTTCCACCGAAACTCATTGATTCAAAACCTGAAAAGTTGGTTTTCCTTGGGGAACAAATTAGGCGTGTCCTATTCAAAAGGTCGTTGTGCATTGTGTTGATGATGCATCCAATTACTTTGATTTGGAGGGTCAGCACTAAAAGGATGTCCTGTTGTTCACACAGAGATACAGTATTTGGGACTATTCTGAGAAGATCTGATCATTACTAATTCAATTATTATGTTTATGCTTCATGGGATATCATTTTGATTGTTAGGTGTTCAAATTAGAAAAAATGAGGTGGTACCAGCACAAGCTCTTTGCTACATCACACACAATGCACATTAAATCCATCGGAGATGGACCATTCTCCCTCTCTTTGTAGATTTTTTAAAAACATTTTTTACTTTAAATACGATGTCCGGCTCCAAGAGAGTCCAGGAGCTGGTTCAAAAACCAATTTGTGGAAAAGGGGCCTCAGTGTGACACCTGAAACTGAAAGAGGATCATGATCTTGAACACCTTCATCAATCCACTTTTATCCTGAGAGTATACTTTGTCCTGTTCACACATACTTTTTTTAAGTTTGAACTATGTGTTGACGAAATGACTAGTTTTATTCTATTTGAGACAAGAAATAAATAAAAGTATTAAAGAATTCTGGGGTCTATTTCCTGTTTATTAGCAGACTTTGATGAACTGTCGACTTGACTTTAAAGGTCACCACACTTCCGAGGTGCTCTCAAGTTACACTACTGCCTGGTCTGTGCATGTGTGTGTGACCTAAAAAAATACTGCAGGTTATTATTTATTCACAACTGATCTCAATTCAGAACATGGTTTCGGGTAGCATCCCTAGTTCACAGCTACTGTAAACACATTACACACAGTATTTTTAAAGACTGCCACAGACAGCGTGGAGCAGCCAGCAAGTATAAAGAGACAAACACAGCGTTGGTTTTGGTTCCTGCGTGAGATTTGTTGACAACAATAACAAACAAAGGTCATTTAAATTGTGCATAAAGGAAATCAGAAGCTGGTTACTTATGGTGGTTGGGGTTAGGGTTAGGGTTAGGGTTAGGGCTAGAATTTTCACATATAAAACGTTTTGTCACATTACAGAACACATCTCTCGTCACCTTCAGGAGGAAAAGGAAACAAGGCGATCTGAAGGTGTAGCAGGAGATCGCCTTATTTTCTCAAAGAATAAGGGACCGTGGCCCCATTTACACTTATCATTTCAAATGTTGCATATATGGACACCATCCAGACATGATTTAATACAATTTCATTTTCATTTAATACATTTTCTTTCACTTTCAAATGTCTTATGTCTCTTTGTAGGTGTCTGCCTGTGTGTAGTTTATTTGTGGCTCTTTCTAGTCATTCTGTATCTTTGAGGTGGTTTTAATTCTCTTTGTAGTCATGTTGCAGATTGTAGAGTTAAGACTGAAGTGAATCCTTCTTGGATGCATTTCAGCTTTTTTCAGATCCAATAGTAATCCGATCTGCCCAAGACATGAAGTGTAAATGGGGTCAATTTCCCTCAGATTTCTGTCCAGGACCTGCACAGTATGTCCAGTTAAATATTATTTCTTTGTATGAAAGCTGATGGACCTCAATAGTGAACTGGAACACTGTCAAACTGGACCTTTAAAAAAGTGCTTATAACATCAGTCAGAGTGAGTTTGGACTCCAACGTCCACACAGGAAACACAAACCTGTGTTCTTCTCTCTCAGCTGATGATGAAGACTCTCGGTCCCTCCTCTCTCATAGGAGGCAGACTCTCTATCACCATGTTGTCCATCAGCCCATATTTATCCTCTTTTCTATTCTTCCTTCTTCCTTCACCTCCATCTCCTTCTGCTCGTGGACTGCCTGAAATCTCCTCTGCGAGCCCCTCCCTCTCCACCGGCTGAGACAGATGACTGGTCAGCTCCCTCATCGTCACCTGCAAGACAATCGAAGCATGTTTTATTACGTCTACCTGTTGCACTTTGTAGTCTTACAGCCTGTAACCAGAACAGAATATCCACTATTTCTTTCTCTGAACTCTGATACACGACCAAAAGTATGTAAGGCTGGTTCTCAGTCCGCTTTCCAGTTCGTCCAACCGTCATCAGAAACTCTGAGTGGAGCTAAATCTTAGCTTTAAAAGCACATTAATGTGGAGGGGAGTGACCACCGACCTGCAGCTCTTTGAAGAGGTGCAGCATGGCCACGCCCACCACGATGACCAGGAAGGCTCCCAGCGTCGTGACCACGTCCACCACCGCCATGCTCCGCCACTCCTGGAAGAGGATGATGGAGGTGGACAGAACCACGGAGGTGAAGAGGACGTAGTAGATTGGGTAGACCAGCAGGGTGTTGAAGGTGTCCAGAGACTTGTTCAGGTAGTTCACCTGCGAGCAAAGAAAAACATCACTCTATAGCTTATATGTAAATAGTCTGTTGAGCTTGTAAATATTTAGATAGTTATTTTGATCTTCTTCCTCCCTTTGTAGATTTTTTAAAAACATTTTTTTACTTCAAATATACGATGTCCCTGTCGTGAGTTTGGGAAATTATTTCCATCGCTGTACACCAATCAGAATCCGGTTTGCACTACAGTTTACATCAGTAACTCAACCAGTGACCAACTGATTGCAGTCAGACACATAGTGTGATTTCAAACAAATGTATTAAACTACTGTATATTCATTATGTTTGTTTATTATTGTTTATTTTATTATTTGGGACATCGGTTGCTCAATCTGGGACAGTTGAAAGTAGAATTTGGGACTGTTGCAGGACACTGAGAACTGTAAGAAAATATCGACTCCTGTATCCTGACACGCATTGTATCTCCAGATTCTTGCCCTATGTTTTAGCTATCAAGCATTAATGTCATTAAAAAACACTGATGATTTTACAGCTCACCTGTGTTACTATGGAGACGATGAGAGTGAACAGCAGGATCCAGGTGAGAGGACTAGCAAGCACTGAAATATCATTAAACACTAGAAAGAAAAAGATAATGAGCATTAACACAGATTCACCTCTCCTGTTGATGCTAACAACTTCTATTTATACGATAAAAAAGGAATAAAACTCCAACTTTAACCATCAACAGTACTAATATCCTGTAACCGTGACGGTAGAAAAGTTCTACCGTATTTGTTTCGGTAAAGTTCCCTGTTTTGTTTTTGCGGTATTCTGGACCAGTTCCTGGTTTTGGAAAGTGGAAGTTAACATCAGCACAGCTAATAGCAAACCACCAAAACTCTGTATCATCTTACTGAGGTCTTAACAAAGACAAGTTAAGGTGGATTTTCATGATTTTCACGGGCGTTTTGTCGCATTAATTCGCTGAAATGTAACGAGTGTTGAAGTTCGTTCTTTGGTCAAAATATTATTGATTCACCACGATCTTTAAATTTCCCTCGGAGTTCATACTGAAGATTTTGCTTTTGTTTGGACACTGAATGCTACATTTTGGCCCAATCAGTACGTATTGGTAGTACACACACATTCTTCTGCTCAAAAGCTTGTACCTAAATTACCCACGATGCAACTTAACCGCAGACAGTTCGGTCAGAGATTGCAAATGACATCATGTGAGGTCATTTCTGAGCCTTCACACAGCGCCCTCTGGAGACAGTAAACTGGGTTATATTCAGCAGAACCCTCCAACAAACACAACCTGGCTTTTGTTTTAAATCAATTGATTTTGGATTCCTAAAAACAACGGTAACGTTTTCTGTCTCTCACCGCTGTTGATGGCGATGGCGAGGCCCTTCACGGAGGAGACGGTGAAGGCTCCCAGCAGTGAGCAGATGCTGATGTAGATGAGGATGTTGGTGCGACCGAACCGAGGAGAGAAATACAGCACGAGTATCGCACAGAGAACCAAAACCACCGACATGTACACCAGGAAACCTAAAGCGCACACGCACACACACACACACACACACACACACACACACACACATAATGTCAGTTTCAATTCTAATGGACCCAACGGGATCATTCAAATAAATCAGGTTGTTCATTTAAATAATGTAATAAATCCGTTACCACAGGAAGTTGACAGTATGTATGTAAACGCTTTATTAGCGCCGTCTCACCGGGCTCCAGCAGCTTGTTGGTCATATCCTGTAGTGATGTCACTTCCTGTTCCTGTGGGGCGTGGATAACCAACAAGATGCTTCCCAGCACGGACAGGAAACAGCCCAGTTTCCCCACCACGTTCAACACCTCCCCCAACAGGTAGGAGGACAGAACTGCACTGAAACACACACACACACACACACACACACACACACACACACACACTGGGAGTCAGTTTATCCATTAATCAACAAAAGCAGCTCATTAAAAAATCATTTGTCGGTTGGGCTCCAGAATAAAGTGTCTGTCTGATTGGGATCTTTAACTACTTCTGTGCTGATAAAGTGGAGTTAAACAGAAACTACGGCTACCTGATGAGGACACTCAGAGCGCCCAGCGGAGTCACCAGCGTGGCCGGAGCAAACATGTAGGCGGCAAAGTTACAGGCCTCTCCTGCTCCCACTGCACAGACAGACAGACAGACGGATGAAGACACAGGAAATAATAAAAGCACCATTTAACTGCTGATGACATCTGTTCAATTCATTATTAACATTTTTAGCTTAGCACAAAGACTGGAAGCAAGGGGAAACTGCTAGCCTAGCTCCATTAAAAGAGAAGAAATACACATTTATGTGCAGTCACACCAAGAAAATAATTATATTAAGGTATAATGGAGATGCTTTAAATCTACTCATAAATCAGACAGAAGAAAAAATGATTCAAATAGTTAATTATGAATTATATTATTTGTCCATCTGAATGCCAGAAACCAACAGTATACTGTTAATAGTATTAAGAGACCTTTTTCATTTTTCCTTAATAAGAGAACTGAATCAGACATTTTAAAGTCAAAGTTACTTTAGTAACTAAATACTTTTGTATGCAGTTATTGGTAAAATAATTAATTGAATTACTTTTGAGAGAAAGTAACTAGTAACTTGCTCGACTTTGCTAATCAGTAGGATGCATAATTATTAAACTGATGATGAAATAAATGATTAAAATGTTTTATGTGGATCATAAACTCAGACAGAAACTACTTACTGGTTAACAGGCCTCCCCACCACAACCAGTCCTTCAGGTAGCCATGACCCCCATCACCTGCACACACACACACACACACACACACACACACACACACACACACACACACACACACACACACACACACACAGAGTCATATGTCACATACAAACATACAACATCAGGAACTATTCTAGTTTAGTCAAGTGGAAAAAAAACATGTCGTTGCCAGGTTGTGCAACTCGTTGTTTCCTAACACAGCGCAAACGGTCTTTATCTAACTTTTCTTCCCTCCAGGTCTTTCCCACTTTTTATCCCTGAACTGTAAAAAACATTGGGCCACAATGATGTTTGTATACATTTTATCTCACTAATGACTAATCTTAGATCCATTTCAGGTGTTTGCCCTTTCTTTCATTCAAGTGTGAGCGTGACTTCCCTGATCAGTTTGTCACATACAGCGAGTTGAGCTGCTCTCATTGGCTGCTCGTGGTTTGGAAACAATGGCGGCTCGCCTGCTCACACAGGATCTGGTTCTCCAGATAAACAGTAAAATGTGTTTGTGAACAGATCTGAGGAGAGAAACAGTCAACAACAGAATCTGGATCCATATCTGATCAGCACTGTTTGACAGTTTGATCTGAGTTTGGTTGAGCTGGACGGACTCACTGAGAATGAGCTGTCAATCACAAGGTAGCCCCGCCCTAAAGCATACCCTGCTTTATGGTCTGTTTTACTCTAAATGGGACCATCAGTTACTAAATGAACATCATGCTGTATGGAAGAAGACTGAAACTAGAGACTGAGACCAGAAACTCATCAGGAAACTGTTTACTGAGCTCATAAATCAACTGAGAAGTCCACTCATTTCTCCATAAGACTGAATGGTATCTGTGTGTTATTGCAACCAGTGGAGCTGCCCCCTGCTGGCTGTTACACAGAATGCAGGTTTAAGACACTTCACAGACTATGAAGCTCTGTCAGTTATATATGGTTTCATTTTATTTCCTGGTGAACATGTTGAGTTATTTTCATGTGAGAAAAAACAAAATGCACATTATTCTTTCTTATTGTCCATGATTGTTATCTTTTGTCTTCTTTAAGATTGATTCATTACTGACAGTAAAGTCAATCAACGTGTCCATCCAAAAGACACAGCTTTGTGTCCTATAAAACCAGTAAAAGCAGCTGAGATGTGCAGCTCTGTTTACCCGCTCTGGTGTGACCGTTTCTGGCCAATCGGAGGAGAGCTTTCTTCTTCAGAATGACACTTCCACCAATCAGGATGGAGGACAGGAGGGCCAGACTCAGGCCCAGCCACAGGTTGTAGGTCTGGTTGGTCTGAAACTCTGGAGACAAACATTTAGTCAGCTGAGTGTTTGTTTATGAGGGTGTGTGCCTGCAGAGTGTGTGTTCAACGACTTTATCTGAGCCCAAAAAACCTCCACAGAATCTCCTGAATGAGTTTTAATGATAACCAGACTCAGATTGTGTAAGTCACTACAATATTTTCACATGACAACATATAAATGTAAAAGTTCACACAGGTGTAGAGTGTGTTTTAGGTTCTTATTTGATCGCTGTAAAGTCTTGAATGTGGAGTTGTTACACACATATTCATTATAATCTACAGGCTCCAGACAAACAAGACTGCAAATTATCTGCAGGCTCTCAATGAACTGACTGTAGTAGACGATGTAAGGCAACTTTAACTGACCACACATTCATGATACACTTCTCAAAAGATTCAGTGTGACTCGTAAATCCACTTAGAAATCCTAAAAAAAAGTCATTCCTCATAAATTCAGAACTTGCTTTAGAATAATCATGTTTTTAGGTTTTCGTCAGTATCAAAGTAATCCAATTATATTTGTCTGTACATCGACGACTACACTGCAGACAGGAAGTGGTAACAGCTAATTCGGCTTCTTTTAATGGTGCAAAATTGAGAAATTTTAACAAAACAGGGCTGTAGCCCACAGACTCCATGGCAGCACTCTACTTCCTGTTTACATCCTGTAACGCATTAAATGAACTGTAGCATCCTGCGAACAGGAGAGAAACAAATAATAATAATATTAATAATAATAATAGCAGTGAAGACATCCATTATCATCACGCTCCGTCAGAATGGTTCTGGTAGTATAACAGTTCAAAACCTAAAAGATACACAGTTATACATCATATAAGACCGGAACATGTTGGTCATTTTACTGAACTAATTAGTTCTGTTGTTTAATCAATTAATCGTATCAGCTCGACCACCAACAGCTGGCCAATCAGAGCTCCTGTTGCTGCTGTGTGCATGCTGGGAGACTGTCTATGGTCACATTTATAGTCTCTGTCTTTTAAAAGAATCATTTAAAATGAACACTGAAATGTAGAGAAATACAATAAAAAAGATGAAGTTCAATCAAAAAGACAAATTAAGATATAATAATCTCTTAATATGTCTGTATTAGTAAATGCTAACAAAGTAAAGTTAGAATTGTGAGAATTTGTTTATTTAAAACAGACAGAATAAGGAAATATAAGCAAAATATTAACTAGAAACATTCTTTACTTGGATTTATAAATGCAAAACTTCATTTTGATCATTTTATTTATTTAATATTTTTGTGTCTTTTTGTACTAAACTCTGTCAAACGTGCTGTTACACCTGATCTGCCCTGCAGATAGAAGGAATAACGAGTTCCTCTCAAAGTCTCATTTACATAATATCTCCTTTCACACACAGTGCCGATGTTATCACAGCCATTGTTCCCTCTTTACTGTGACAGAATACAGAACTGGCACAAATATATTAAGATACCAAGCACTTTCTTCCTGTTGGCAAAGTTTTCCTGAGTTGTCTGAAAATATTTTTTTATTAAAACAGAGAGAAGATTCAACGTGTGTGCAGCTTTCTAACTGCAGTGACTCGTTCATCCTCTCAGCTCGTATTCTTTATCGGCTTTATCAGTCTGTTTCTGCAACACTTCAGGGGACGTTACTAAAGTTCATATGTGCTCAAAAATGGCCTGCATGAATCAGATTCTTCTTTAATTGTGACAAAATAGGCACAATTCAGGGCTTTATTATGACAACGAGGTTATTCATTAAAACTTAACCCAACAATAAAACTCGGTGTAAAAGAACATTTTAGTTGAAATAAACTGGAATAAAAATTAGACCTAGAGGTCCAGTGTGTAACATTTAGGAGGATCTATTGGCAAAAATAGAATATAATATGTTTTAATTAGTGTCTAATTAACATTGCACTACAGAGAACAAACATTTTAAAACATTATGAAATAAAAATATACAGGAAATGTGTTTTTTACTTGGCCCAATGAGTCGACACAAGCAGCCTGAGGACGTATTGAGTGAGTCAGTGCTTGTACTGAAATATCTGTAATATTAAAACTAATACTGAAACAAATAAAAACTAAACTGAACTTAAAGAATTAAAAACAAGATAAAAATATAAAACTGATCATGAATACAAGCTGTGATAACTTCCTCCCAGCAGTATGAAGGTACAGTCACAGTAAAACAACTTCAGCCTCATTGTTTCCGTTCATCCGACTGGAATCTGAACAATGACTCTGAGGAAGTTCAGAGACATTTAACAAAAGATTTTTATTTTCCATCACAGTGAAAACTAAAACACATCAGGAGATTATCGTCACATTTGTTCCTCGAAGCACCGATCCAGGAAGTACTCAGCCTGCTGGCACCGATCCAATCAGCTGGTTTTAAATGTACCTTTTGTCAAACTTCATGTATTATGTTGTTATTATTAAAATCATTTTGCTTTTTGTTGTCTTTTCTCTCAGTGTTTGTTGTTTTGAATAAAAATAAACCTCTGTGGTAGATACAGAACAAAAACTAAACCAATGCAGTAAAATACAGTCGTCGTTTTGACTGTAAAATCTTCATTTTCTTCAACAGTGGAAGTTTCTAAAACTCATTCTTACTGAACTCCAGAGTTTCAAACCCTGACGTCTGCAGGAATTACACATCTCACTGCTGTTTGTGTGATCTTGAGGAAATGATTTATTTATTTTATTATAATAATAATTAAAATTAAAAGACACATAGAGTGCTGAGATGCTCTGATTAAGTTACTGTGTGATATATTACCTCATTTGATACAGACACATTTTTTTGTGTAAAAGAGGGTTGAAATTCAGCCAAAGAAAAAGTCAAATACTGTAATTCATTACAATTAAACCCTGTAAACATATTATTACATTTAAATTTTAAACTCATTAAAAAGGGATTTGGGAGAAACGCCACAATCAAACAACGACACAGTAGACTCTTAATTGATGCCCCAAGTTCTGTTTTTAAGCTGCTCCTTCAGAATAAACGCCCTGTGTTAGGAACAGTAAAATGTAAAGTCTACTTTTTGTATATTTGGCTCAGAAACGGGCGTGCAGTGTTTGCACACTGTCACTGAACTAAGGATCATTATGCCATTATCATCAGCCCAGTGTGCGAACTATACCGCGGCTATCAGGGAGCTCACTGTCTCAGCAGTCAGAGTTTGGACTGAAGGTGAAGCACCAACGGCTAAAAATAGACGAATAATGGCGATTTGGCAGACTCAATCGGACTACATACATTTATTCTGTCTATGTTTTCTGATCTGAATTAATGATATTGTGCAGCCATGCTCCACTGATTCCCAACCTGGGGGTTGAGACCCCAACTAGGGGTCGCCAGACCTGCTTGATATTAAGGTGTGTAAGAAATATACACAGCACGTTCCCTTTTGTGAAGTAAAGATACATGTAATTGTCTAACAGAACAATGGCCAAACGTCAGATAGAAGAAAACCTTGAATTTGTCAAAAAATAACCATCTTAAGTCGGTATGATTGTTAAGAGTTATTAAAACTACATAATACAGACAGAGATTTGTAGTTCCCTAAGCAAGAAATAATCTGCTCAAAATTCATCCAAATCTTTGGTTTTACACAAACTTCCTGCAGTTACTGTGTTTAAATAATTTCCCCCTGGGATTATTAAAGTATTTCTCATTCTGATTCTGATTACTGCTGTTTGTACAGTTTTATACAAAATATCCATAAAATATGTACATACAGATTTAAATAAGATCCTTAAACATAAAGAACGCGGTTTACACACAAAGACTCCCTCCCGTCCATTAACACACATCAGTAAAAGGTGTGTGTGTGTGTGTGTGTGTGTGTGTGTGTGTGTGTGTGTGTGTGTGTGTGTGTGTGTGTGTGTGTGTGTGCGTGGGTGTGCGTGCGTGCGTACCTGTTGTGTGAGTGCTGTTGTCCAGGTGTGTGTAGATCTGCGGTTGATCTCCGGTGAACAGACAGACTGCAGACTGAGAGCCGCACCACAGCCGGACCACGGACCCTGCAGAGACCCCCAGCATCACAACCATCAAACCTTTTATTCTCGTTCTCATCATATCGTGTTGAATCACATCGGTAGTTGTTTCATAATCATCTTTAATATATCGACCTCAGTGTCCAGAGGCAATTCCAATAAAGTTTATTACATATGCAAAAAAAAGGACAATATGGAGTAGAGCTGCAACAATTAGTCGATTAATTGTCAAATATTTTAATTAATTAATTAACCAACAGTTTTTGGTAATCAATTAATCAAATTCTTTGATTTTAGCTTCACAAATGTGAATATTTCTGCTTTCTTTCGTCCTATAGGACAGTAAACTGGATATATTTGGGTTGTGGACAAAACGAGACATTAGAGGAAACAGTAATCCACATTTTTCACCATTTTTTGACATTTTATGGACCAAACAACTGATTGATTAGATGAGAAAATGATTTAAAAAAAACCCCGTAAACTATAAATAGTTGTTTCTGAAGACCCTTTTTTTACACATCATTCTGAAGGAATAAAGTGTTTTTTCTATATTACGGACTGTAAATTGGACAGAAAACTTATTTTCTTTTCTTTTGATGGTAAAAACTTGCATTCAAAGTTAAAGCTGTGGCTCAGAGGAAGAGCGGGTTGTCCCCTAATCAGAAGGTTGTTGGTTTGATCCCTGGCTCCTCCCGCCACATGTCAAAGTGTCCTTGAGCAAGATACTGAACCCCGAATTGCTTCCAGAGCTGTGAATGTGTATGAATGAGTTAGTTTCTGGTTGATGCCGTGAATGTGGCACGTAGTGTAAAAGCGCTTTGAGAGGTTGGAAGACTAGAAAGGTGCTATACAAGTACTGGTCCTTTTACCATTTACCAACTTTAACCGTAAAATCAACAGTACTAATATCCTTTTACCGTAATAAGTTCCACTGTAATTAGTAAAGTTCTGGCAACCATGTAAAAACAACATTATTTTTTACAGTGTGTCTCTTTGTGCAGGAATTATAAATGATTTCAGAGTTTGAAGTTGAAGAGTGAGCGAAGGTTTCTGGCTGTTTGCTCTCTGTGTGTCTGTGTGAAGGGTTGAGTAATACTGGTTGGACCACTGTGCTGCTGATTACAGTAACATGAGGAGAGGAGACGGTCAACACAACCAGGCAGAGAGCTTTAATATTGACACTGTCAACAGCGAGTCGTCGGCATACAGCGGCAAAAATAACACTTACTGCTGCCGTCTGTGCTCTTAATGAGCAGATCTCAGGTGGAATCAATGGCTTCAGATCCACGGAGGAGCTTCAATATCTTATTATTGGGATGCAATATATTAAATATATTATTAATATAATAGTATAATAATATAATATAATAATATAATATAATAATATATTATTGGGATTCCTTAATTACTGCATAATTTCCTCATAATTTCTACAGAGTTTCAGTTGTATATTTACATGCTAAAGATATGAGTACATAGACATTAAAAAAAGGAATAAAATCAGAATTTAGAAGAAAATGTGATGACTCTCAAGCGAGTTCTGCAGTCATAAGGAACGTCTTTCTTCCATGATGTTCAACCGAGATGAGACGAAGATGATGTTATCCTAACGAAGTGTAATTCACACTGAACCTTAAATATAATAAATCATTGTCAGCACAAACTCACGCTCCAGCTTCTCAAATGTGAATGTTTGCTGGTTATTTTCTACGTATCTTTGTGGTTGGACTTCTGAATAAGTCAACCTGGATATTTTATGGACGAAACAGTTATTCGATTAATCAAGAAAACAACTGTCACATGAATCTTTAATTAAATGATTATTTGAACCCCAACAAGTAAAAGTCCTGTATTCAAAACATTTAAAACCACTGTTTTAACCTATAACAGCATCTCATATTTTATTTATTAATTTTATTCTGTGTCAATAATCTGATTCCGTAAACTGCAACAGTTTGATATTTGTTACTATATAGTTAATTTAAGATGAGATGTGCCTTTATTGATCTCTTCACAGAAGTTGATGAAATGCTTTTGTTTTACACCCAAAATGAGAGGCTTTGGTGACCCTCAGTGGGGCCCCGATCCACAGGTTGGGGACCACTGATTCAGATTCATTTAGGAAATACGGTGATAAAACACAGAAACGAGCCACAATATTGTTTTTAGGTTCAGATATTTTCATTTTGGGTCTTTTCCACTGAGCAGATATTTCTGCCACCATCTGGACAGCCCATGAATATTTCTCCAGATCCGCCACCTGTCAGACTAATGGAATAAAAGTATTTTCCTCTGCGCTGTAAACTCTAAACCTCAGGTAGAGTACAAATACCTCAACAATGCTGCAGTATTTAATGAACTGTAATGGCTTTTATTTCTGTTTCCTGCTCGACAAGGAAACATGACAGAGCCATAAAGACAGATTGGATCGATAGAGAAATTTGTGGCTCTGCAGTCTTCCACCTTACTGCTCTACACTTCTTATTCTAATGATCTTTATTCTGATTGTTCTTAGAATGAGAGAACTCGTTCTTACCGTTCCTGCAGGTCTCATTATTGAGCTGAACATCTCGCATCGTGCTGCACCGTTGAGGAAATAATCCACAGAAACAACGAGCTCAGAGTCTCTATGTTCAACAAACTGAATCCAGCAGATGTCTAAAACCTGGACCGCCCTGTAGCCCGGCACACAGAGACCAGCTCGGGGTCATTCACCCTGAAGCCAGGTTCTCCAACAGTGTGAGTGTGTGTGTGTGTGTGTGTGTGTGTGTGCAGGTAAACAATACGACACCCGACCCCGCCCAGCACAGCCCCGCCCCGCCGGGCAGAGCCGGTGTCACGCAGCAGGTGTATCAACTTTCCCCTCAAACAAAAGAACTGAAACTGCACAAAAAGAAAAGTTAAAGGACTGTCTGAGTGAACTAACTCAGCCAGTAATGTTCAATGGGAACTTCCACTCTCTTCATTCAGGTCCACTAAAGTAAATATGGAAGCTCATTTCTGCCAGACGGAAAAACAGATTCTGTAAATCATTATAATGAGAAACCTTCCCAAAATAATGATTTAATATCTCATAATAAGGATTTCAAATCTCTTAATAATGATTTAATATCTCTTAATAATGATTTAATATCTCAAAATGATGATTTAATATCTCAAAATAACCGCTGTCATTATTATTATTATTCATGAGGTACTAAGTCATTAACAGAAAGAACACACAAGTACTTTTCATCCCAATATTCATTTATCTCATTTATCTGACAGTTACTTAGAGGAAAAGTTTAATATGAGTGTTTGTTATACATTAAACTTCCCAACAGTATGATTAATCTATTAATAGAACATTAATTGGCAACTTCTCAAATGTGAAGATTTTCTGCTTTTTCTCTGTAAATATTTGAATAATTATAGTTTATTTTATTTTAATACACATTGTGAAGGCGTCATTATGAGCTCTGGGTAACTGTGATGGCATTTCTCACTATTTGTTTAAAGTTTTACACACCAAATAATAAATCAATCAATGCAGATGAATCAATAATGAAAATAATCAGAATTGCAGCATTTTATAAAACACCTCCACCTTAAACAACCACAAATGACTGCATCAGTAGTAATAATCTAATATATTATGGTATGGTGGTACTTTTACTGAACTAAAGGATGAACACTTCCTCCAGCACTGCAAACTGTAAAGTGGCTGCAAGCTCTTTATTAGAAGTGTGGATGTTTGTAAGACGTATATGTTTACTGCTCCTCCACTGAAACAATAATCTCACCTTCATACAGGTGAGCCCATTCAGAATGAGACTGCTGCCCCCTTGTGGACGATGTGGGACACATCAGAGTTTATGAGTCACTACATTGAGTTTTACAGTGTAGCACTACAGCTATAATCAGATCAATAAGGTTTTAATGGCTGCACCTTTAAATGTGATTCATAAATCATCATCAATCATCAATAAACACACGTTTGTTGATATTCTCTCAATTCACAAAACTTTATTTTCTAGGAAAAATAATTTCATCCATTTCTCAGCACTTCATTTGACAGCAGTTGGTTTTCCAGAGAGAGGACAGCACCGCCGCTCTTCTGATGCCAGCGTCGGGGTGGGGGTCAGGCTAAGTTAGCCAAGAAGCTAAGCCATGCTAAGCTAGGAGAGGCTAAACAAAGACAGGCTAGGCGCTGTTCAGTTGCAGTAGTTCTGCAGGTCGAAGATGTTGCAGGGCCGATAGCAGCAGTCCATCTGGATGCTTCGCTTCACCCTCATCTCGTTCTCGCCGCCCGCCGCCGCTGCAGCGCCGCCTGCCTTCGGTGGGAGGAAACCTGACGGGACAGAGAGGAAGTCATCAGAATCAGGAGCCATAATAAACACTGGGCGGCGTTCTGAGGTCTTCAAACCTTCAAAGGAAGACTGTAAGTTGGTCTCACCCTGCAGAGGGTCGACGTCTCTCTTGGGGTTGTAGAAGAAGCCTCGGTCCCCACAGACCAGGTAGAGGGCGTCGACCAGGTGAGAGCCACACAGGCGCTGTTCAAACGCAGCGGCCTGGGAGCCCGGCCATGATACGATCAGTAAGACCAGCAGAGAGAACAGACAGACTGCAGACTGAGAGCTGAACCACAGCCGGACCACAGACCCTGCAGAGACCCACAGCATCACAACCATCAAACCTTTTATTCCCGTTTCCTTTCAGACACGAACAGACTCCCACATTCAAAGGCTACGACAGGAAATATCTTACAAAAATAAATATTATTTTGCATCCCATCATATCGTGTTGAGTCACATCGGTAGTTTAATATATCGACCTCAGTGTCCAGAGACAATTCCAATAAAGTGTTTTACATATGCAAAAAAACAACCCAATGTGGAGTAGAGCTGCAACAATTAGTGGATTAGTTGTCAAATATTAAAATAATTACCAACTATTTTTGGTAATCAATTAATCGTTTTGAGAGCAAATTCTTTGATTTTAGCTTCACAAATGAGAATATTTCTGCTTTCTTTCGTCCTATATGACAGTAAACTGGATATATTTGAGTTGTGGACAAAACGAGACATTAGAGGAAACAGTAATCCACATTTTTCACCATTTTCTCGCATTTTATGGAGCAAACAACTGATTGATTAGATGAGAAAATGATAATTGATAATGAAAATAATCATTAGTTGCAGCCCTACTATGGAGTCACAGATCTGATCGGTTCTGTAGTGAAGTTCAGTTTGAGCTCAGTCAGACACAACATGTAAAATAACACTGCTGTAAAGCTCACTACCAGTCGATTAATGATTGATCGGGTGATTAATCAGACATCATGACCTCAAACTAAATGTCAAATAAACAACCATTCAGACAGAAATTCAACCAGACTTAAAATCAGCTTCATCTGTACAGTGGGAGGAATGTAAATGAAGAGTTTATGGTGAAAAACTGTAAACTGTAAAGAGTTGTTTCTGAAACCTTTATTTATACATCATTTTGAAGGAATTTATATAGAATAAAGTGTTTTTTATATATTACGGACTTTAAATTGGACAGAAAACCAAGGTCATATCTCTCATACAACAAAACTGTTTCTTTTGATGGTAAAAAATATTAAATCATTATTATGAGATATAAGATAGATTTGAACAGTAAAATATGGAATAAAACTCCAACTTTAACCGTAAAATCAACAGTACTAATATCCTTTTACCGTAATAAGTTCCACTGTAATTAGTAAAAACAACATTATTTTTTACAGTGTGTCTCTTTGTGCAGGAATTATAAATGATTTCAGAGTTTGAAGTTGAAGAGTGAGCGAAGGTTTCTGGCTGTTTGCTCTCTGTGTGTCTGTGTGAAGGGTTGAGTAATACTGGTTGGACCACTGTGCTGCTGATTACAGTAACACGCACAAACATTTTACTGCATATTGTATATAGTGTATATATTTTTCATTTACAGTCTTTTATTTCTATAATATATATATATATTTTTTGTAATTCTTATTGTACTCGTACACTCTGTACTCTTTGCACTACATTCCCCAATGCTGCTGTGTCTAATTAGAATTTCCCCTCCTACTGGGGATCAATAAAGGTACATCTTATCTCATCTTATCTCATCTTATCTTATTAGGACAGGAGGCCGTCAACACAACCAGGCAGAGAGCTTTAATATTGACACTGTACACAGCGAGTTGTCGGCATACAATCACACTCACTGCTGCAGTCTGTGCCCTTAATGAGCAGATCTCAGGTGGAATCATCATTTATTTTAATACGACTTTGTACATTAACCCAGGAGTTCCCAACCACACCCACACTCTTCAGAGCACCAACACCTCCTCTTCCCTAGTTGTTACAACTTCTGGGGACCCCCTACAACCTACTCAAGGACCCCTGTTGGTCCCCGGACCCCAGTTTGAAGACCACTGCCTAAACCTCTTTTAACATCTTATATTTTATTTGTTGATAATATTTTGTGTTAATAATCTGATTCTGTAAACTAATATTTCCCTCTGAAATGTAGCTGAGTAAAAGTATAAAGTAACATAAAATAGAAATAGTCAGCAAATAAATCAAGATGGACTTGCGTGCTCCAATGGGGGTCCCGACCCACAGGTTGGGAACCACTGATTTAGATTAATTTAGGAAATAACGTGTTAAAAAACAGAAATGAACACACATAATTGTATTATCTGTTATCACATTTTAGACCTGGGGATAGGCTTTATTTAATGAATTACAAAAAAGACATTAATTAAACAACTGAATGATCTCTAATGCCACCTTTAGATGTGCCACAGTAATGTTTTAAGGTTCAGATATTTTCCTTTTGGGTCTCTTTCAACCAAATCCTGATCAATGTGATTAAATGAGCAGATATTTCTGCCACCATCTGGACAGCCCATGAATATTTCTCCAGATCCGCCACCTGTCAGACTAATGGAATAAAAGTATTTTCCTCTGCGCTGTAAACTCTAAACCTCAGGTAGAGTACAAATACCTCAACAATGCTGCAGTATTTAATGAACTGTAATGGCTTTTATTTCTGTTTCCTGCTCGACAAGGAAACATGACAGAGCCATAAAGACAGATTGGATCGATAGAGAAATTTGTGGCTCTGCAGTCTTCCACCTTACTGCTCTACACTTCTTATTCTAATGATCTTTATTCTGATTGTTCTTAGAATGAGAGAACTCGTTCTTACCGTTCCTGCAGGTCTCATTATTGAGCTGAACATCTCGCATCGTGCTGCACCGTTGAGGAAATAATCCACAGAAACAACGAGCTCAGAGTCTCTATGTTCAACAAACTGAATCCAGCAGATGTCTAAAACCTGGACCGCCCTGTAGCCCGGCACACAGAGACCAGCTCGGGGTCATTCACCCTGAAGCCAGGTTCTCCAACAGTGTGAGTGTGTGTGTGTGTGTGTGTGTGTGCAGGTAAACAACCCAACCCCTTACCTAGAACTTCCAGACAGTTCATTTAGGTCCACTAAAGTAAATATGGAAGCTCATTTCTGCCAGTGTGACGGGAAAGAAAAGGATTCTGTAAACCATTATAATGAGAAACTTTCCCAAAATAATGATTTAATATCTCAAGATAATGATTTAAACCTCCAAAAGTGTAAAGATTTGATGTTTTTCACATAAAAAAAACATAAATTTAATTGGCTACCATTGTGATGATCATTTGATTATAAAAAGCTTTTTATCATACGTCAGCTGTTTTAACAGGTAATGTAATAATTTGCTTTAGTGGTAAAAAAGTAAATTCAACGTAAGTGGTAACATTTGTATAAAGAAGATGCATTTAAGTGACTTTATTCAGATAAATTCTGTTCACACATTTGAAATAAGTTTGTTTGGAGAAATGCTGCATGAGTCAATTAACTGAATGGAATTAGTACAATTAAGTTTCCTTAACAATAAATACTTGAGTTACTTAAAATCAAATATCTTTAATGCTTAAATTGTTTGAGTTAATAAACTTAAATCGGTTTTTCTTCCAACAGTTTGAGTTGAACTAACACATTGAGTTTTACAGTGTAGCACTACAGCTATAATCAGATCAATAAGGTTTTAATGGCTGCACCTTTAAATGTGATTCATAAATCATCATCAATCATCAATAAACACACGTTTGTTGATATTCTCTCAATTCACAAAACTTTATTTTCTAGGAAAAATAATTTCATCCATTTCTCAGCACTTCATTTGACAGCAGTTGGTTTTCCAGAGAGAGGACAGCACCGCCGCTCTTCTGATGCCAGCGTCGGGGTGGGGGTCAGTTAGCCAAGAAGCTAAGCCATGCTAAGCTAAACAAAGCCAGGCTAGGCGCTGTTCAGTTGCAGTAGTTCTGCAGGTCGAAGATGTTGCAGGGCCGATGGCAGCACTGCTCCACGATGCCTCGCTTCACCATCATCTCCATCTGGTCCTTGAAGGCGAACTCAGCCACCTCGTTCTCGCCGCCCGCCGCCGCCGCAGCGCCGCCTGCCTTCGGTTGGAGGAAACCTGACGGGACAGAGAGGAAGTCATCAGAATCAGGAGCCATAATGAACTCTGGACGGCGTTCTGAGGTCTTCAAACCTTCAAAGGAAGACTGTAAGTTGGTCTCACCCTGCAGAGGGTCGACGTCTCTCTTGGGGTTGTAGAAGAAGCCTCGGTCCCCACAGACCAGGTAGAGGGCGTCGACCAGGTGAGAGCCACACAGGTGCTGGGCGGGCGCGACGGCCTGGGAGCCCGGCCATGATACGATCAGTAAGACCAGCAGAGAGACAGACTGGAGCCACAGAGCCGCCATGCTGGAGGAGACTGAACACACAGACACACACATGGAGGTGATGGAGGGGAAGACAGGAGGAGGAGGAGGAAGTGGAGGTGCAGAAAGAGGAGGAGATGAGAAGGAGAAAGAAAGATGAAGGAGTAAATAGATGAGGAAGAGTAGAATAATTCACCTGTAAGATCGGAGGAGAAGATGGAAGTGTAGGTAGAAGAAGAGGGATATGGGATATGAGGAGGAGAACAGCTCACTTCTAGATTTGGAGGAGGATGTGAAGGAGAAGCTAGAGGAGGAAGAGTAGAACAACTCATAGTAGAGTGAGAAGAAGAAGAGGAGATGGAAGAAAAGTTGGGGAAGGGGAGGAAGGAGGACATCAACTCACCTGAAGAGTCACAGGAGGAGGAGGAGGACGTCGAGGTGTAGAAGAAGAGAGGAGAAGGAGAAAGAAAGATGAAGAGGAAGGAAGAAGGAGTATGAGGAGGAGGAGGACAGCTCACCTGTAGATTTGGAGGAGGATATGAAGGAGATGGAGGAGGTGACTCAGCGATGAAGAGGAGCAGTAGCAGAGCAGCTGAGAGCTGGTTGGTGTGAGGCAGAACAGAAGGTCTCCTCCTCATTTATACTCCTTCACCTCCAGGTGGCCCCGCCCCCTGCTCTGTGTGTGTGTGTGTGTGTGTGTGTGTGTGTGTGTGTGGTCGCAGCACTTAGTACAACAAACAGAGCTAATGAGCCGACATGATCTGATCACCTCTCATAGACAAATATTGATCACCAATCAGCCTCCTGCTGCTTCTGCTGAGCTCAGCAGCCCAACAGAACTCATCCCATCCTCGCTTATATTGTTCCCCTGTTCAACAACGGATGACAAAAATTCCATTTCTTTATATTTCATCATCGACTTTTAGCGACACAGAGCAAAGATTCATTAGTTAGCTAGCTAGCTAACAACACGACTAGCACCCGGAGTGGATAAAAACACTTTATTACTGTTTTTCAAATGATTTTTGTTCAAATGAATAAAATGAAATAATGCTTGAATGTTTTCTGCAAATATGTTTGATGTATACACACAGCTGTAGCTGCTCGACGTGACACATTCAGCACTATTTGCTACCGTCCCACACGTAAATATGTGGAAGCAAACGGGACTGTTTTCTGTTTCAAACTGACATTTTAAAGTTTAGTTTATGATTTTTCAGCTGAATAGAAACGTTGTTATGTGGCTCTGTTCAAAGCCACTGGACTCATTTTATTTAACAGCTGAGTTGCTGCTGCCTCCATCGGTCAGTTAGTTTGTCTGTAACATGTTAATCTGTATCTGAACTTGCAACTGCGAGGAAAAGGACTTTTACTTGTAAGAGAGTGTTTGTACACTGTGGTACTACTTTTAGGAAATGATCTGAGTACTGTTCCACCACTGACGGCACAGAAACCCAGAGCCTTAACTACCCCCTCCAACACAAAGAGTGCCTGATGGGTGTCGTGCTGACGGAGCTTTTTCATTGCAGCTTGTTTGTCTCTTAAGAGGGAAAACTCAACTAACCGTGACGAGTGTCACCATGATGACGGAGGAGGACGCCAAACAAAGTGTTTCTGCAAACGACTCAGAAACATGAAACCAGCTCTGCTGCCTCTAACTGATTACAAAACCTTCATCTTAACCACCTAATAGTCTGTAACTGGAATTTGTGACTAATTCTGCGTCCCCCCTGCGTGGTGAAGTGTTGTGATCGGTACATTTAACTTACCTTTTATGCTTTTTTTGCAGTTATTTTACTTATTTTTTAGCAATGCAACTTCATTTTAATTATATTATTCTTAATCTTTCGTCTGTTTTGTTTTATTTTAATAGATTTTTTACTTTCCTTTCCCTTTGTCTCATACGCTGCATTCAGTCTCATTGCTCTGCTACTTCTCTGACGGATATATAAGGTAATGTTGAAAGGCTCAGCCGCAGTCACACAAATTATTAAAATAAAATAAAATATGATGTAAACAATACATTTAATGACATCATACACTGCATGATTTCAAAAAGAAATAAAAATAAAAGAATAACATGTTCATGACTCAAGCACACAATAAATCAATCTATTATTTGTCTGTAATTGGTTACCAACGTTCAAACTCTTCAATGTTGAGTGTTGTATATAAAGCCACATTTCATATAATTCTACCGACACAACATATCTTTTGAATTATGACCAGTTTTGGGTGGCGTCTTCAGATGTGAATTACAAACACTTCTTGCTGCCCCAAATAGAGCTGTATGATGGAGCAGCTCCAAATAGTCGATAGTAACTTAGATCTAACCAATATAATTTTTTTTTAAATATATCATATTTTTGCCTTCAATTAATATTTATTATTATCTTTCACTGAAGAGTGGCAGGAAAAGGGGATGACACACATTATATTTGATTTTCTAATTTCAATATGTTGATGTTTAAAGTTAAAACAAAAATAATAAAGAAATGCCCACAGATAGTGTTGCAATTATATATTTATTCTTTAATCAACAAGAACATCTGAAAAGAGAGAGAGAGAGAGAGAGAGAGAGAGAGAGAGAGAGAGAGAGAAAGAGAGACAGACAGACAGGTGCACAGCAGCAACAATAATGGCAATGGCAATCTAGCAGGACCATGGCAGGAGGCTCCACCAGGATCAATAAGAACCTGCGAGACGAGAAAGCACAAGAACTCCGGGGAAGAAGTGAAGTTAGTAACATGCATTAATGGAACATGAATGAGTGCAGAAAGAGAGAGGAAGGGAGGAGCTCAGTGCATCATGGGAAATCCCCCGATAGTCTAGGCCTATAGCAGCATAACTAAGAGATGGGTCAGGACTCACCTGATCCAGCCCTAACTATAAGCTTTATCAAAGAGGAATGTCTTAAGCCTACTCTTGAATGTGGTGAGGGTGTCTGCCCAGAGTAGCTAGTACAGGAGAGATGTGATCTCTTTTTCTAGTTCCTGTCAGTACTCGTGCTGCAGCGTTCTGAATTAATTGGAGCGTTTTAATGGACTTATTGGGGCAACCTGATAATAAAGAGTTGCAGTAATCCAGCCTTGAAGTAACAAATGCATGGATTAGTTTTTCTGCATCTGTCTGTGATAGTATGTGTCTAATTTTTCTAATATTACGTAAATGAAAGAAGGCAGTCCTAGAGGTTTGCTTTATGTGGGAGTTAAATGACAAATCCTGATCAAAGATAACTCCAAGATTCCTGACAGTGGTGCTAGAGGCCAAGTTAATGCCATCTAGAGTAACTATATCTTTAGACAGTGAGTCTCTAAGGTTTTTGGGGCCAAGAAGAACAAGAATTTCGGTTTAACATCAGAAAATTGCAGCTCATCCAGGATTTTATGTCCTTAAGACATGTTTGTAATTTAGATAATTGATTAATTTTCTTTGGGCTTGATCGATAGATCATCCAGATGTAATTTAAAGGAAAATCTACAAATTACAATACATTACTACAGTGATTCAAGGTTCAGATTAGGTTTAAGATCAAGAATTGTTCAAGACAGCAAAAACCTGCGTGAGTATGAGAGTTAAAGAAAAAGAGGAAGTGTTTCTGTCTTACATGGTGAAAAGCAGATGACCACTGAAGGTGGTATGGTGATTAATATTGTCAAACACCTTTGTATTAACCCACAGACGCACAAACACATCTCCAACCTCTAGCCGCAGTGTAACCGCATTAGCAGCATGTAAGCAGTCCCAAAACCGGATGCCTGATGTTCCAATGTGGCGAAAATTTGTTGTGAGTTCTTGACTAACACAGTCGCTGAAGAATGGGGACCATGAACTCCTGTGTACCACTCGAAGTGGTAGGCTCCTCTCACTGGTGCAGTAAAAATACCTGTTGAACATTTGTTTTTAGTCTTTTTAATGAAAAAACATTAGACATCAGCATAGGTAAAAATAACAGAGTTCAGGTACCTGTGTGTGGTTTGTAGGCCTTTCCAATGTTTGTGGGGACATGTTTGAAGATCAGAGTAGTGAATGTGGGAAAGGGTCGGACATATCCGTGGCCTGTATCAAACACAGAGGCTGAAAAAGCCACCTGTTTGACTGAGAGAGAGTGCGAGAGAGAGAGAGAGAGAGAGAGAGAGAGAGAGAGAGAGAGAGAGAGAGAGAGAAAGAGAGCATTGTATATATATTAAACATATATATAATGTTTGTGTTCTATCCACCACTTTAGGTGGATTACATATTAAGAACATATTTTCAGAATGGAAATAGCTAATTTTGAGACGTCTCCAAAAAAATGTAACGAAATGATAAAAACATTTATCTCTAAAGAAAACAATGTTTGACAGCATTTCATAGTTACAGAAGCTGAAAACTGTTTCAAACGTTTTAGTTAAATGATTTTCTAATGATTGAAGCTGACTAGAAAATGTCTCAAGGAATTATAAGTGTGCCTGAATCCTTGGTGTCCTGAGAAAGAGAAAATATGTCTGCAGTTTCCTGTTGAGATAGTTATTATTTATTATATTATATAAAATATTACATATTTTAAATGAGCCAATCACAGTCAGCTGTGTTAACTGCTAAGATTACCTCATCATCAATCCACCAATCAGAGCAGAGGAACAGCAGCTGTGTCTGTGTCTGTGTCACTAAGACAGAAAACCCTGGAATAAGTCACCGTAAAGAAAAAACTGTAGGTCGTACTGTTGAAGTGACGTGACCATGCGCACCCCAAGGCGTTGCTGAATGTATACATATGTCATTTGGTTGGATAAAGTTTAAAAATGTGACCATAACAGCGATTATAAAAACAGGCACGTCTGCTGTTAATATGGGAGCTAATGGGGCAGTTGGTTGGCACTCTTGTTGTTCAGGAGCTGCCACAGGTTTAAGTCCATTTAATTCCAGAGTTATATGTGTAAAAGCGGCACAAATGGTCCTACGTTTTGATGTACAGATTATGTATGTGGAGTGAAAATTGTGGCTGTCAATTGTCAGACAAGTATTTTAGACAAATTTACAGCTTCTCGTCATGATGACTGTTAGTTCTCTCTGAACATTCTGCACAATACACTGTAATGGGAAAGTCTCGGAAGGACTGAACTTTTCATTCATTTTGAACTGCGATTGTGTGAAATATATGAAAGATATGAAAAATGTAATTAATGTCAGAAAGTCCTGTTTGTCGTGAACATTTTAAAGTTTGAATGGAGTTTATATGTGAATGAATGAATGAGTAATGAAAAATGGGAATAAGGAATGAATGGAGAAAAAATTGGAAAACATGGAATAGTTTGGAAATTGGAAAAGGTATCAATAAGAAAACAACAACTATACCCACTCCTGCTATAAATCTCAAAGGAGCAGAAGCAGCTGGTAGAAATCATAAAAATTTTCTCCAAGACATGCACATACTAATTATGGCAGCAGTTTTCAGTAAATAATATTCGAGTCAATACATTTATTTCTGTTGATTTCCACACAGTACCTTTCAGCCGCTGCTTCAGCTTGTCAACCTCAGTCTCCTGCTTCTTCAGCTCTGCTGCAAGTTCTGCAAAAGATGATAAATAAACTTGTGATTGGTTTCTTTGGAAATCCTTTTGTGAAAAAGAAATACTTAGTTGCATAGTATAATTTTTATACTTTTGGATATGAACTGCTATGACATTGATTCCCTTGTAAAACAACAGTGGTTCCTATGGAAGGGTTCCTGATGCTATTCCTTCTCTCATTACCCGACATAATACTGTACCTTTATTCTCTCTTTGCAGCAATCTCATCTCAAACTTCTGTTGAGTCAAAGTAGCGGCCATCTCTCTCAGCACAGCAAGGATGTCTTGTGGAAAAGGCTGTTGGTTTGCAATCTCCAGAGCAGACCAGCAGCAGCAACGGGAAAATCACAGCGATCTTCATTCTCACACTGGCAGCTTACACAGGTGAACTGTGTCCTCTGTAGACCTGTGTGAGGTTTATGTAGTACAGCAAAAAGAGGTGTGAAGGTGAGGGAGGTGGACGTCAGATAGTTCTTCCCTTTCACAATGCGTGTGCTAATATACTCTACTACTTACGGATATTGGCATACACAAAGTGTCAAATGGAAGTACATTTGTAATTAAACCTTGAGGAAATCACAGCTTTCTTCTCATTGTAGATTTTTTTTTCATAAATTCGTTCCATTCTCCATCAGGGGTGGGTTCAGGGTTATGGGGAATCCCAGAAAAAATAGGGTTATGCTTCAACCGATAAAGAATGCAATAGTGCAAAAGAAGCTGCTCTGAAGTCTGGTGGGAGGGCAGCATGTGACATGACCATGACAGGTTCTCTGTGATGTTGATTCCCAGGAACCTATGTTCACCTGCTCCACCGATGTAAACATCTTTCTTTACTTCCTTTTTTTCTCAACTAAAGTTTTAGCTCCTTGGTTTCCTGCAGCAAACCGAGTTTGACATGCTGGAGCGGGAGCTGTCCGGGATGCGGCAAAGTATTAATGCCCGTCATGTTGCTGCTGCCTCTAAGGCGCATCCCCTCAAGTCTGCGCCCTTAAAATAGCATCTGAAGAAGTGCCACTGACTTTAGACTAGGTTTTTCCTGGTCTGTGGCGGAATTGTTTTCTGAAAACAGCAAAATAGCACCAGGGAACGTTTGCGCAGGAACACGCCTCCTCTTTTCGCTGAACCGCCCCCCGGAGCGCAAGTTCATCCCCTAATTTATGCACGTGCGTCGGTGGAGGGAAAATTCCAATGTGCTTCGAATGCAAAATAGGAATTATACAAGCGCCAGTGTACAAAGTCAATTGCGCTGAGTGCAAGATAGAGCCCAAAATGTTTTTCGCTCATCTGGTAGCGTGTCCTTACACATAATAGGGGCTCTCCTGTTTTTGAAGCCAGTGATGTTCTGGATCACCTGCGACACATCTTTTGGTGTTGTGGGTGTTGTTAATCCTCATCTGATTTATGTTTTGTCACCATGTGCTGTAAACATGATGCTGGGCGAGATTATTGCTGGTGGCAGCTTCAATTTTACTTGAATTGCTTCATATATCGTATGAACTGTGCTATTATAGTTGTTTTGTTTTCTTTTATTTTGTAAATAATTTAATTGTTTTCTTATATTTGTATTTGTATTATTATTACCTTGTATATTTTATTTATTGTAAAATGTTACTCAACATCATTGTAAATGAGGGCTAGCCCTCAATGAGTTCCAGGTTTAAATAAAGATATTATTATTATTTTCCCCTGTGCTGCAGTCTCAAATTCAAATTCAAATCTTATTTACATACATATTTTGAGACAGGTTTGTATGTGCAATCAATTGGTTCCTTTCATTCTATCCAAGCATTATCATAACATCACATCATTTTTTCACACACTTCTCCAAAATAATTTGATATTCAAATGATATTCTGTCTCTTCACCTTTGTGTTGCGTCATTCTGTGAAAGAAAGATCCATTAGACCGCCTCTCCACATGATAATATAGCTGGATTTTCCAGAGATACATTTCTTTAAAGTCAGAGGGCACTGATCGGAGTAACACTCACCAAACAAAGACAACACAACCACTGACAACCATCAATTCTCAGAGTATTAGTTTCAGCTGTTAAGATACTGAGCAACTGTGCAGCTTCCAGGTAAGGACAAATGTGGATAAGTGCTGACCATTTGATGGCGTTTAGGTCATAGCTACAGATGGTTTTATAAGTCTGTGTATTAAATATAATGTCATTTCCAGTAATTTCAAATGTTTATACACAATGGAACTGTTGATGATGTTTTTTGGAGTCATGCAGACTTTCTCTTATTGTATGATGTTGATTTTATCTTGCATCAATATCTGACACTAGCCTCGCCTAAACAATAACACTGCAAGGACCTTATTGTATCTGAAGGAATTATTTGCATTTTTGGCGGCTGCAACATGCTCGAATCTCATTAAACGTGGCATCCAATTAAAATTGTGACCCATAAGACGATGATGATGATGCTATGAATTAGGACTACACAATTAATTGAAATATTATCAAAATCGCAATATGGCCAAGTGCAATATGCAAATCATAACAGCTGTAATGTTTTGATGAAGGTAAAATGTGTAACAAAACAGCATTATAATGAAGTACTGTAGTGCTGCAGATCTTGTTCTCCAGATTTAAGAAAACGTTTGTCTGGTAAAACAATATGTTTTGGAAACAGGAAGTTGCCATAACTATAATGTACTTTGTCTAATCTCCACCAACCTTCACATGTCTGATAAGAGTCTCGCCAGACCTACAAATTAGCCTCTTGGAGCCATACCCTAAAGAACAGGAAGTTGGCCATTTTGAATTTAATGTCTATTTGTTTTTGCCATTTTGGCCATTTGCACACCTTCTATTTTTAGAAAACTCCTCCTAGGGAATTGATTGGATTGACTTCAATTTGCTCAGGCTACTCTAAAGACAATCACGATTAAACATTTTCATCAAAGGGTGCCATAAAACAGGAATTAGTTATAACTTCAGTTTACTTTGCCCAATCTCCACCAAACTTTCATAAGAGTCCCGCCCTGAACACGTCTACATGCCAAAATTCAGTCACACTCATAGCACCACCTACTGGAAAAAAGAAGTAAGCCTCGTATGGCAATCATCATCTGATTTCCATGAAATGTTCACAGTGTGGTCTACACGTGATGCAGCCTGCCCCGACGTGTGCAGACTGCCCGATCATTGCTGCTTGTAGCTTTTATTGTTATTTCAGTCAGGACCACTTTTGTCAAAATATCTTCTATTCCAAGCAGAATTTTACATTTGGCGGTATGGCTCTGTTCTGGGACCTCCTTGTCCTTCCACGTGCCTACGTGGAAAACCTTAAGGCAGGGAGAGCACACCCCCCTGCCCTTCTATGTGCATACATGGAAAAGTTTAAGACAAGGAGAGCGGCAGCAGAGACCCCCTAGGGTACAGAACAGAGCAGGCATCAATGGCAATCAGAAAATGACATTGATTAATTAGAAACAACATAAAAAGGAGGAGCTGGGGTGGAGGTGGGTGCAAAAGGCTTGTAGAGGAGCAGCAGAGATAGGCGGGCAGGCTAAAGCAGCTTAAATAAGGCACCATGTAGATGTTTGCCAATTGGATGCCTGAGGAAATCAGGTGAGCTGTCAGCTGACTGTGTATGGTATCCAATGGGAAGCTTAGAGGAATCAGCTGATGTATGATTATGACTAGCTGTGATTGTATGATATAGCTGTAACTGAAAGCTAAGCCTGACTTCATGCCCTGCCTGAACTAACGCTATGCTCAATTTCAGTCAGGACCACTTTGTCAAAATATCTTATATCCCAAGCAAAATTTTACATTTGGCGGTATGGCTCTGTTCTGGGACCTCCTTGTCCTTCCACGTGCCTATGTGGAAAACCTTAAGGCAGGGAGAGCACACCTCCCTGCCCTTCCATGTGCATACATGGAAAGTTTAAGACAAGGAGAGCGGCAGCAGAGACCCCCAAAGAACCATACCAGGCAACCTCCCTTCCATGAGCTACATGGAAGTGCCATTAAGAGGAGCCAGCAGCCCAATTTTTTGTAAGAAATAAATAACAGTAATAAAGCCAATAATTATGCAGATACTAGTTGAAGTAACTTGGCTGAGGATTAATAAAGAGATCTCTAAGAAGTTATGCTAGAAGTGTATTTAAATTAAGCCAGCAAAACATATTTCCCAAACAGAGTGTTATATTTGGTGGTGTGGCTCTGTATGGGACCTCCTTGTCCTTCCACGTGCCTACGTGGAAACCTTCCATGTGCATACATGGAAAAGTTTAAGACAAGGAGAGCGGCAGCAGAGACCCCCAAAGAACCACACTAGGCAACCTCCCTTCCATGAGCTACATGGAAGTGCCAGTAAGAGGAGCCAGCAGGACTATAAACCAATATGTCTAAGCAGACACTAGTTGAAGTACATGGCTAAGTATACTAGAGATATCCCCAGAAATTTGCTATACATTAATGAATTTAGGCCAGAAATTACAGGGCACTCATTGCTTTTTGAGCATCAAGATTTGCTTGGCCTTAGGCAGGAGGTATCGTTCGTAAGCAGATAATGAACATTTACCCATAGCCTTAGCGTCGAGACAGGAGCTACGGATGCTGCATTTGTTGCTGCTCCTATGCAAATTGAATGAGGAGTTGTTTTAATGTAGATTAGCTCAGACAGATCGCATATACTGAGCAGTAGATAGCCTGTAGGATTGCATGGTTGTGTTTACTCTAACACGGTTTGAGAAAAATGGGGGGCAAGTCAGGCTGGATGGCGCTGCCTCCGGGCACAGCTGGCGAAATTCGGCAATTCAAACCGGGACAAAAATCAGCAATTGTTATCCAAGCATGGAATATGAGATGCTCTAATAATGAATTTACCCAACATAGATAACCAAGTGAGGCGCCTTACAAATCTATAATGAATGGAACTGAAGAACGCCCTTGTAAATGATGTTGGCAGTTGCCTCAATGTCGCAAAAACATGATTGTTTCCTTGACCAGTCTTTTCCCCACAGAAACATATAACAACAATTGGGTACATTCATTAAAAAGGTAGAAGAGGCATTAGCTGGCAAGAATGACAGTATTTTAGCCATATGTCTGTGAACCACTGATTATTAAAATACCCCCCCAAAACCTACGGAAGGGCGGTTATCATACAGGTCAATCATGCCACTACTACTGTATGCTTGAATTAATTATATCTCCATTATTTCTGTACACAACACCGAAAAACTTGTGGATCCATTGCCCTTCCCTAAATTGCCCCTCATGTCTGCTCCCTGTCTTCTAAGCTCAGCAAAGCTGTTCATTAGTGATCTAGTAGATCATAGCAGTCACACTATTAGACCTTGCTGTTGACATAAAGCGCCCAGGGTGAACTGGCACACAGCGTTCGATTTCATTTATATGTTGCTCAATATGCTGCGTCTTTTATAATTAATGGCAAATGATGATTCTAGCTGCTCATTGTAAAATAAGGAGATGCCATACCATTTATCACACAGAAGAGATCAGGACTGGGGCTCGGATCTGCAGCCCTCATCCAAGCTCACCATATCATGGAGTTCTCTATAAATCGGAGAGGTCCAGAATCCTGGACATAAGGGAACTTCCCTGAGGAATAACACACATGCCAATTTAAGATGTCTAAGCAAGGAGAGCAGTTCTCTTTTGGAAATGACTACTGCCTGCTGCTTCATTACCTCTCTGATGCGATTTTGCATCAGTACACTATCTAGAGTGAAGCCTAGAACTCTAGCCTTACAGGGTCTGATGTTTCTCCTTGGATAGCAGAAGACCTAATGTTTTAAAGGTATATTTAAATGCATGGTCTGATTTTGAATTGATAGTCAACTAACAGAAAATCGTCTAAGAGATGGAGCACGAAAGCAGTTGCAGTTATTTAAAAGAATCCAGCAGAGAGCCTCTGATAAGGTATCAAATATTTGGGGCTGCTGTAACAACCAAAGGTGAGCCTAACTGAGAAGTACATTTCTCTTAATTTAAACCGAACAGATGCCAATGTGAAGGTGTAATGCATGACTTAAATGCATCTGTGACATCTGCCTTGGCTAGCCATGCGCCTCTACATGCTTCCTTAATCAACTGATGGCATGTAGATTATAGCATAAAATAAAGAAAAAGTGCCAGAGGATTTAAACTATTTATGCCTTAGTTTCACCTTTGCAAGAGCAGATAAATTAATAATTATGTTTTTATTTTATTTATTTCCCTGAATATTTCCTGGTAGCTATACCTTAATGCTTGTTGAGAAGGCGATTTATTGAATGGACCAATATGAACCTTTTGTTATCCTTTCTTCAGTAAAGCATCGACTATCTCAGCTCTTTCAAAGCAGATTGTAGGTTTTGCAACCAAGTCAGCCCAGCTAAGAACCCTGAACCAGCCCTATAACAGATAATTCACTAACAGCGTTTAGATGCTTTCTTAGCGCCTTCCCCAGCTCAGGGACGTTTACTGGGGTTGAAGGTTTATCTCTCATGCCCCCTTTTTGAGAGGCAGCACGTTCTTCCCTATGGTGATTGGGACTGCACTTCCCAGCATCTCGGCGGGAATGTGACGCCGTCAAAACAAGCTGCTGTGATGTCATCGTCAAGCGCTGGACCTGTGGGACCATGCACTCTACCTGCAGACAACGAAGAGGGAAACAGGCCAACTGCGGACGAAGACTGGCCGGCCTGACGTGCCGAACCGAACCCTGGACCCTTGAACCCATGACGGCAAGCGACAACCGGATGTTGAACAGAGCTGACAAGCAGACAGGTGGAGCCGGCCGCTGCGCCTGGGAGCCGGAGCCAGGACCGGGACCGGGACCGGGACCGCAGCGGAGCCGCAGGAACAATTCCTCCCCCCTTCTGCAGACCCCCCAGTTAGACAATTTAACAAACTCCATTAGTGGCAAAATGGCTCCATAGCACACCAAACTTCACGTCTGATAGGAGTCCCGCCCTGAACACATCTACATGCCAATATTCAGTCCTACTCATGGCAAAAGAAAAACCATGTTATATACTTTCACAAACTACTTCTTCTGAAATTTGGCCAGAGGGGTATTGCACAAAAGTAGGATAAAGAAATCCAGGATAACTGAGCAAGCGCGGCTTGACTTAGCCTGCTCGGCGCATCCTGGCTTAATCGGTTGCACGTTTGCCGAGCCAGGATTAAAAGGTGCGGCTATGTTAAGCCAGGTGTAGATAGTCGGGATAAGTGCGGGTTCACGGCATACTGAACTAGACCTCGCGATCGCTCACAGAATCACCGATGGGAACATGGATAAGAGTCGCGCTTCATATTTCACGGCCGCTGAACAACATCTCCTGATGGAGTTCTATGAAGAGGTGAAAGATATAAGAAAAAAAGGCAATACCAACGCCATAATTAAAGAAAGAGAGAAAGCCTGGCAGACAATAGCGGACCGGCTTAATGCTTAAGTAGTCCAAAACTGTACAATTAATAAACAGTGCTCCACTGGAACTGTCATCATTAGGCTCCAATTAAAGGACTAAAGGAGTTACTTTAAGTCCACTAATCAACTGTTGTACACTTTGCTTTAAATGTGGCAAGTAGAGGTGCATGTTACTCAGGAAATGTAAAGTATGATTAAGTGCAAACAATTATCCACAATGTGTGTCATTTAATCTATTTTTGTCATGTTACGTTTTTATCTATTTTATCTTTCTATCCTTCATAAAGAACAAACTTGTCTGGCCATAAAAGGACCTGGCAGCAAGTTAAAGTTAAATAAAAGAACATTTTGCAGGCTGGAAAGTGACTATAAAGTAGATAACAGTGAATAAATGAGGTGAATAGATTAGGTATCTGCTGACATGTTGAATGTCTGTATGATTGTAGCAGTTAAAAAAAGCCCATAGAACTGGCACAGGGGGCGGCCCACCAAGCCAGGATATGTGCGGTAAATGGTTCCTTTATTGAGGTTCTCTGCATCCCCAATAGAATAAAGGAAGCTCCCACTTGCAAAACATCTCACTGTACCACAGACCACCTGTGGTACAGTGAGATCCTGCCGTCTGGTGCTGTATTTTTGGACCCAGCAGCCTACATAAATATCTCAGTCCATCACCTGAGAATCTGTATCTCTCAATGAGATAGTCATCTCCAACGGCCAATGGGTCTGACCTGTCCCAGAAGACTCTTTCATGACTAAATGCTCGTCTGAGGATTAGGGCTTCCTCATCCAGTACATCCTCCAAGAAAGGGCAGGCCATTATGAAGAGGGAACAGCTGTGAATAATATATATATATATATATATATATATATATATAAATATATATTATGGCATGCCGTTTAGGAAATTAATCTTTGGATATATGGAATGAAGCTTGGATATACTGATAAAAATGTGAGAATACTGAATGAAATTCAAAACCTAGTTGTATCCTTTTCATCAAAGTGATAGCCTTCTGAATTAGCTGGTTTTACAAAATGGCATCAGTTGAAATATTACAATACTTTCTTAAACTGGAAAACTTTTTTGCTTTTTCTGTCAGGATTTTGCCTGAGGCCTGTTGTAGTCGGCCTGCCACCATTAAAAAGGGAGTGAACTTCTTTGTCAGGAGAACGGTATTGGGCACGGGTACTATGGGAAGGATTTTGGCCCGTACAAGCACTTACCAATGAGTTAATATTGTCCTCATTGCTCAGTATTGCTGCCACAAGGTTCCTGACTGACTCATTCTCACTTCTACAAGATGGCAGCAGTGCCTTGATGACCAGTCAAGTTTCATTCAATATATTCAAAGTTTCATTCAATATATTCAAAGTTTCATTCTATATATTCAAAGATTAATTTCCTAAACGGCATGCCATAATATATATACTATTTTGCCCTTGTCACAGATTTCATTGAAAACACCTTTGCAGCTTCATCAGCTGTGTTTTGTAATCTCAATTACTGCAATAAAACACATATCTATGCAATTTGACAAGCAGTCTTCATTAGCATAGCAATATAACACTTGTCCTGAGTAATAATACTACCACTTGAATCAATATAAAAAGACTGTGGCAATTACAAACAGCCAACAGATTTAAATGAAATGAGAAATGACAATATATATGTAATATTTTAATGCAGGATAATTAAAATGATGCAACATACTTAGAAAGACCATGGACATGCAGTAAAACACATTAATTCCTCACAGGATTGACGGTGGAAATACAGGTGAATCACTAGGATTAATCTTAGCCTGGCTGTTAGCCTGGTCTGGAGCAGGCTAACTGCAGAGATTAAATCACCATAGTAACTTAGCCGGGTTAAGTTTGAGCTGCTTTCATGCAACCGACTTGAGGCTAAATTAAGCCAGGATAACCAACATATCCTGGCTTAATCCCTTATCTTGGTTTTGTGCAATACCCCTCAGATTACACTAAAAATGTTGTTGGGATGATAAGTGATGAATGTGAGTTTGATAAAGTACTGTTGTAGAACAGTAAATCACTTTAGTTTATCTAAAAAAGTATTCTTATGAGGAATTAAATCATTTGCAGTTTGAATATGGTGCAGTCAGAGGTATTAAGTTCATTTAAAAAAAATTCTAATTTACAAAACAATTGGACAGAAATACACTGGGAACACTGAATAAAGAACTGCTGTAATTATTGTTTGATCTATGTAAGATTAAATTTGTATTTTTGTATTCACATAGGGATTTCAACATAACATTACGGATCAATTAATGATTCTAATAGCTTGTAACTGTAGTGTGAAAAGTTCAGCATGTGCCTTCTGTGAGTAAGTCTCTGTATTGCTTGATTTCATAGATTCAAAGGAAGACAGGATGGGTGTCGGATGGATCATATCAGTTTTCCTGTTTCTAATAGGTAAGCTAAGTGACCTTGAACCAATTGCCTTTAAAGTTGCTTAATACAAAATAATGGAAAAGGTATGACACAAAATGAGTTAAGGTCTCTCCTGCATGTAAACCTATATTTCTTATATGAAGACTGATCAGACTCTAGTATCCCCCTTAGATCACAATCAGTTAATAAAGACAAAGTAATCAGAACACAGTAATCTGCGTTTTGTCATCAATTTTTGTACTTGTAACCAAGAATGTTTATAATATATTAAACTTATTGTAACAACAGCTGCTCCAACAACAACAATGTCTGCTCCAACTACAACAATGCCAGCTCCAACTACAACAACGTCTGCCCCAACAACAACAACGCCTGTTCCAAAAACAACAACACCTGCTCCAACAACAACAACGTCTGCACCACCAACAACAACAACGTCTGCTCCAACAACAACAACACCTGCTCCAACAACAACAACGTCTGCCCCAACAACAACAATGCCTGTTCCAAAAACAACAACGTCTGCTCTAACAACAACAACGTCTGCCCCCAAAAAAACAACATCTGCTCCAACGACAACACCTGCTCCAACAAAAACAACGCCTGCTCCAACAACAACAACACCTGCTCCAACAAAAACAACGTCTGCTCCAACAACAACAACGTCTGCCCCAACAACAACAATGCCTGCTCCAACAACAACAACGTCTGCCCCAACAACAACAACGTCTGCCCCAACAACAACAACATCTGCCCCAACAACAACCACACCTGCTTCAACAACAACGTCTGGCCCAACAACAACAACAACGTCTGCTCCAACAACAACAACACCTGCTCCAACTACAACAACGTCTGCCACAACAACAACAACAACAACAAAAACGTCTGCCCCAACAACAACAACGTCTGCCCCAACAACTACAACCACGTCTGCCCCAACAACAACAACGCCTGCTCCAACAACAACAACACCTGCTCAAACAAAAACAATGCCTGCTCCAACAACAACAACACCTGCTCCAACAACAACAATGTCTGCCCCAACAAAGACAACAACCACACCTGCTATAACAACGCCTGCTCCAACAACAACGTCTGCCCCAAAAACAACAATGCCTGCTCCAACAACAACAACGTCTGCCCCAACAACAACAACAACGTCTTCCCCAACAACAACAACATCTGCTCCAACAACAACAACGCCTGTTCCAACAACAACAACAACAACGTCTGCTCCAACATCAACAACGTCTGCCCCAACAACAACAACAACGTCTTCCCCAACAACAACAACATCTGCTCCAACAACAACAACGCCTGCTCCAACAACAACAACAACAACAACGTCTGCTCCGACAACAACAACGTCTGCTCCAACAACAACAACACCTGCTCCAACAACAACAACGCCTGCTCCAACAACAACGTCTGCCCCAACAACAACAACACCTGCTCCAAAAACAACAACGCCTGCTCCAACAACAACAACGTCTGCCCCAACAACAACAACACCTGCTCCAACAACAACAACGTCTGCCCCAACAACAACAACAACGTCTGCTCCAACAACAACAACACCTGCTCCAACAATAACAACAACAACGTCTGCCCCAACAACAACAACAACAACGTCTGCTCCTACAACAACAACGCCTGCTCCAACAACATCAATGTCTGCTCCAACAACAACAACACCTGCTCAAAAACAACCCCAACAACAACAATAACAAAAAAACACAGCTCCCCAACAACAACAACCCTGCTCCAACAACAACAACAACGTCTGCCCCAACAACAACAATGCCTGCTCCAACAACAACAACGTCTGCCCCAACAACAACAACAACGTCTGCTCCAACAACAACAACACCTGCTCCAACAACAACAACAACAACGTCTGCCCCAACAACAACAACAACAACAACGTCTGCTCCTACAACAACAACGCCTGCTCCAACAACATCAATGTCTGATCCAACAACAACAACACCTGCTCCAACAACAACGTCTGCTCCAACAACAACAACGCCGGCTCCAACAACAACGTCTGCCCCAACAACAACAACGCCTGCTCCAACAACAACAACAACGTCTGCTCCAACAACAACAACATCTGCTCCAACAACAACAACGCCTGCTCCAACAACAACAACAACAACGTCTGCTCCAACATCAACAACGTCTTCCCCAACAACAACAACATCTGCTCCAACAACAACAACGCCTGCTCCAACAACAACAACAACAACAACGTCTGCTCCAACAACAACAACGTCTGCCCCAACAACAACAACACCTGCTCCAAAAACAACAATGCCTGCTCCAACAACAACAACATCTGCCCCAACAACAACCACACCTGCCCCAACAACAACAACGTCTACTCCAACAACAACAACAACAACAACCACACCTGCTTCAACAACAACACGTCTGCCCAAACAACAACAACAAAAACGCCTGCTTCAACAACAACGTCTGCTCCAACTACAACGTCTGCCCCAACAAGAAGAATGCCTGCTCCAACAACAACAACGTCTGCTCCAACAACAACCACAGCTGCTTCAACGTCTGCTCCAACAACAACAACAACAAAAACGTCTGCCCCAACAACAACAACGCCTGCTCCAACAACAACAACAACACCTGCCCCAACAACAACAACAACAACAACGTCTGCTCCAACAACAACCACACCTGCTTCAACAACAACGTCTGCCCCAACAACAACAACAAAAAAACACGCCTGCTTCAACAACAACGCCTGCTCCAACAACAACACCTGCTCCAACAACAACAACGTCTGCCCCAACAACAACTACAACAACACCTGCTGCAACGACAACAACGTCTGCCCCAACAACAAGAACTACAACAACAACGCCTGCTCCAACAACAACGTCTGCTATAACAACAATGTCTGCTCCAACAACAACAACACCTGCTCCAACAACAACAACGCCTGCTCCAACAACAACAACAACAACGTTTGCCCCAACAACAACAACTACAACAACACCTGCTCCAACAACAACAACGTCTGCCCCAACAACAACAACTACAACGCCTGCTCCAACAACAACGTCTGCCATAACAACAATAACAACAATGTCTGCTCCAACAACAACAACGCCTGCCCCAACAACACCTGCTCCAACAACAAAAACGTCTGCACCACCAACAACAACAACAACGTCTGCCCCAACAACAACAACGCCTGCTCCAACAACAACAACAACACCTGCTCCAACAACAACAACGTCTGCCCCAACAACAACCACACCTGTTTCAACAACAACGTCTGCCCCAACAACAACAACAACAACGTCTGCTCCAACAACAACAACGTCTGCCCCAACAACTACAACGCCTGCTCCAACAACAACAACAACACCTGCTCCAACAACAACAACGTCTGCCCCAACAACAACAACGTCTGCTCCAACAACAACCACACCTGCTTCAACAACAAGGTCTGCCCCAACAACAACAACAACAACGTCTGCCCCAACAACAACAACGCCTGCTCCAACAACAACAACAACACCTGCTCCAACAACAACAACGTCTGCCCCAACAACAACAATAACGTCTGCTCCAACAACAACCACACCTGCTTCAACAACAACGTCTGCTCCAACAACAACAACACCTGCTCCAACAACAACAACCAACAACAAAACACGCCCACAACAACACACCAAAAAAAAAAAACAACAAAACGAAAAAAACAAAAAAACGCCTGCTCCAACAACAACGTCTGCCCCAACAACAACAACACCTGCTCCAAAAACAACAACGCCTGCTCCAACAACAACAACGTCTGCCCCAACAACAACAACACCTGCTCCAACAACAACAACGTCTGCCCCAACAACAACAACAACGTCTGCTCCAACAACAACAACGTCTGCTCCAACAAAAAAAAAAAAAACAACCCTGCCACAACAACAACCAACAACAACTGCCCAACAACAACAACCCTGCCCAACAACAACACTCTGCCCAACAACAACAACCGCTCCAACACAAAACAAATTCCCCAACAACACAACCACTTCCAACAACAACAACGCCTCTCACAACAACAACAACAACAACGTCTGCTCCAACAACAACAACGTCTGCTCCAACTATAACAACATCTGCCCCAACAACAAGAATGCCTGCTCCAACAACAACAACGTCTGCTCCAACAACAACCACAGCTGCTCCAACAAACTAACAACAACAACTGCTCAACAATTCTGCTCCAACAACAACAACAACAACAAAAACGTCTGCCCCAACAACAACAACAACGTCTGCCCCAACAACAACAACGCCTGCTCCAACAACAACAACAACACCTGCTCCAACAACAACAACGTCTGCCCCAACAACAACAACAACAACGTCTACTCCAACAACAACCACACCTGCTTCAACAACAACGTCTGCCCCAACAACAACAACAAAAACGCCTGCTTCAACAACAACGTCTGCTCCAACAACAACCACAGCTGCTTCAACGTCTGCTCCAACAACAACAACAACAAAAACGTCTGCCCCAACAACAACAACGCCTGCTCCAACAACAACAACAACACCTGCCCCAACAACAACAACAACAACAACAACGTCTGCTCCAACAACAACCACACCTGCTTCAACAACAACGTCTGCCCCAACAACAACAACAAAAACGCCTGCTTCAACAACAACGCCTGCTCCAACAACAGCAACGCCTGCTCCAACAACAACACCTGCTCCAACAACAACAACGTCTGCCCCAACAACAACTACAACAACACCTGCTGAGACGACAACAACGTCTGCCCCAACAACAACAACTACAACAACAACGCCTGCTCCAACAACAACGTCTGCTATAACAACAATGTCTGCTCCAACAACAACAACACCTGCTCCAACAACAACAACGCCTGCTCCAACAACAACAACGCCTGCTCCAACAACAACAACGTCTGCCCCAACAACAACAACACCTGCTCCAACAACAACAACGTTTGCCCCAACAACAACAACTACAACAACACCTGCTCCAACAACAACAACGCCTGCTCCAACAACAACGTCTGCCATAACAACAATAACAACAATGTCTGCTCCAACAACAACAACGCCTGCCCCAACAACGCCTGCTCCAACAACAAAAACGTCTGCACCACCAACAACAACAACAACGTCTGCCCCAACAACAACAACGCCTGCTCCAACAACAACAACAACACCTGCTCCAACAACAACAACGTCTGCCCCAACAACAACCACACCTGCTTCAACAACAACGTCTGCCCCTTCAACAACAACAACAACGTCTGCTCCAACAACAACAACGTCTGCCCCAACAACTACAACGCCTGCTCCAACAACAACAACAACACCTGCTCCAACAACAACAACGTCTGCCCCAACAACAACAACAACAACAACGTCTGCCCCAACAACAACAACGCCTGCTCCAACAACAACAACAACACCTGCTCCAACAACAACAACGTCTGCCCCAACAACAACAACAACAATAACGTCTGCTCCAACAACAACCACACCTGCTTCAACAACAATGTCTGCTCCAACAACAACAACAACAACAACGTCTGCCCCAACAACAACAACAACGTCTGCTCCAACAACAACAACGTCTGCTCCAACAACAACAACGCCTGCTCCAACAACAACAACGCCTGCTCCAACAACAACGCCTGCTCCAACAACAACAACGCCTGCTCCAACAACAACAACGCCTGCCCCAACAACAACAACATCTGCTCCAACAACAACAACGTCTGCCCCAACAACAACAACTACAAGAACACCTGCTCCAACAACAATAACATCTGCCCCAACAACAACAACGTCTGCTCCAACAACAACAACGTCTGTTCCAACAACAACAACGTCTGCCCCAACAACAACAACACCTGCTCCAAAAACAACAACGTCTGCTCCAACAACAACAACGTCTGCTCCAACAACAACAACACCTGCTCCAACAACAACAACGCCTGCTCCAACAACAACGTCTGCCCCAACAACAACAACACCTGCTCCAAAAACAACAACGCCTGCTCGAAAAACAACAACGTCTGCCCCAACAACAACAACGTCTGCCCCAACAACAACAACAACAACAACGTCTGCTCCAAAAACAACAACACCTGCTCCAACAACAACAACGTCTGCTCCAACAACAACAACGCCTTCTCCAACAACAACAACGCCTGCTCCAACAACAACAACGCCTGCTCCAACAACAATAACATCTGCCCCAACAACAACAACGTCTGCTCCAACAACAACAACGTCTGCTCCAACAACAACAACGTCTGCCCCAACAACAACAACACCTGCTCCAAAACAACAACGTCTGCCCCAACAACAACAACACCTGGTCCAAAAACAACAACGCCTGCTCCAAACAACAACAACAAAAACGTGCCCCAAAACAACAAAACTCTCAAAACCACCTGCTCCAACAACAACGTCTGCCCCAACAACAACAACACCTGCTCCAAAAACAACAACGCCTGCTCCAAAAACAACAACGTCTGCCCCAACAACAACAACGTCTGCCCCAACAACAACAACAACAACAACGTCTGCTCCAACAACAACAACACCTTCCCCAACAACAACAACGCCTGCCCAACAACAACGTCTGCCCCAACAACAACAACACCTGCTCCAACAACAACAACACCTGCTCCAAAAACAACAACGTCTGCCCCAACAACAACAACAACAGTCTGCTCCAACAACAACAACACCTGCTCCAACAACAATGTCAGCGCCTACTCCAACAACAAAAAAGTCTGCCCCAACAACAACAACAAGCTGCTCCAAAAACAACAACGCCTGCTCCAAAAACAACAACGCCTGCCCCAACAACAACAACGCCTGCCCCAACAACAACGCCGCTCCAACAACAACAACGCCTGCTCCAACAACAACAACACCTGCCCCAACAACAACAACGTCTGCTCCAACAACAACAACAACAACGTCTGCTCCAAGAACAACAACTACAAGACCCTGCTCCAACAACAACAACACCTGCTCCAACAACAACAACGCCTGCTCCAACAACAACAACGTCTGCCCCAACAACAACAACACCTGGTCCAAAAACAACAACGCCTGCTCCAAAAACAACAACGTCTGCCCCAACAACAACAACGTCTGCCCCAACAACAACAACAACAACAACGTCTCCTCCAACAACACCAACACCTGCTCCAACAACAACGTCTGCCCCAACAACAACAACACCTGCTCCAAAAACAACAACGCCTGCTCGAAAGACAACAACGTCTGCCCCAACAACAACAACGTCTGCCCCAACAACAACAACAACGTCTGCTCCAACAACAACAACACCTGCCCCAACAACAACAACGTCTGCCCCAACAACAACAACCCTTCTCCAACAACAACAACGCCTGCTCCAACAACAACAACGCCTGCTCCAACAACAACAACATCTGCCCCAACAACAACCCTGCTCCAACAACAAAAACGTCTGCCCCAACAACAACAACAACAACGTCTGCTCGCAACAACAACAACGCCTGCTCCAACAACAACTAACAACACACGCTCCAACAACAACAACGTCTGCTCCAACAACAACAACACCTGCCCCAACAACAACAACGTCTGCCCCAACAACAACAACAACAACAACAACAGTCTGCTCCAACAACAACAACACCTGCTCCAACAACAACAACGTCTGCCCCAACAACAAAACCCTGCTCTAACAACAAAAACGCCTGCCCCAACAACAACAACGTCTGCCCCAACAACAACAACGTCTGCCCCAACAACAACAACAACGCCTGCTCCAACAACAATAACAACACACGCTCCAACAACAACAACGTCTGCCCCAACAACAACAACAAAAAAGTCTGCCCCAACAACAACAACGCCTGCTCCAAACAACAACAACGTCTGCCCCAACAACAACTGCTCTAACAACACCTGCTCCACAACAACTACAACAACGTCTGCCCCAACAACTAGAACGCCTGCTCCAACAAAGAAAACAACGTCTGCTCCAACAACAACGTCTGCCCCAACAACAACAACAACAAAAACGTCTGCCCCAACAACAACAACAACGTCTGCTCCAACAACAACAACACCTGCTCCAACCACAACAACGCCTGCTCCGACAACAACAACGCCTGCTCCAACATCAACAACGTCTGCCCCAACAACAACAACAACACCTGCTCCAACAACAACAACGCTAGATCCAACAACAACAACGTCTGCTCCAACAACAACAACGTCTGCCCCAAAAACACCAATGCCTGCTCCAACATCAACAAATACACCTGCTCCAACAACAACGTCTGCCCCGACAACAACAACGTCTGCCCCAACAACAACAACAACAATGTATGCTCCAAAAACAACACCTGCTCCAACAACAACAATGTCTGCCCCTACAACAACAACGTCTGCTCCAAAAACAACAACGTCTGCTCCAAAAACAACAACACCTGCTCCAACAACAACAACGTCTGCCCCAACAACAACAACAACAACAACGTCTGCTCCAAAAACAACAACACCTGCTCCAACAACAACAACGTCTGCTCCAACAACAACAACGCCTTCTCCAACAACAACAACGCCTGCTCCAACAACAACAACGCCTGCTCCAACAACAATAACATCTGCCCCAACAACAACAACGTCTGCTCCAACAACAACAACGTCTGTTCCAACAACAACAACGTCTGCCCCAACAACAACAACACCTGCTCCAAAAACAACAACGCCTGCTCGAAAAACAACAACGTCTGCTCCAACAACAACAACGTCTGTTCCAACAACAACAACACCTGCTCCAACAACAACAACGCCTGCTCCAACAACAACGTCTGCCCCAACAACAACACCTGCTCCAAAAACAACAACGCCTGCCCCAACAACAACAACGTCTGCCCCAACAACAACAACGTCTGCCCCAACAACAACAACAACGTCTGCTCCAACAACAACAACACCTGCCCCAACAACAACAACGTCTGCCCCAACAACAACAACAACAACGTCTGCTCCAAGAACAACAACGTCTGCTCCAACAACAACAACACCTGCTCCAACAACAACAACGCCTGCTCCAACAACAACGTCTGCCCCAACAACAACAACACCTGGTCCAAAAACAACAACGCCTGCTCGAAAAACAACAACGTCTGCCCCAACAACAACAACATTGTCTCCTCCAACAACACCAACACCTGCTCCAACAACAACGTCTGCCCCAACAACAACAACACCTGCTCCAAAAACAACAACGCCTGCTCGAAAAACAACAACGTCTGCCCCAACAACAACAACGTCTGCCCCAACAACAACAACAACGTCTGCTCCAACAACAACAACACCTGCCCCAACAACAACAACGTCTGCCCCAACAACAACAACAACAACAACAACGTCTGCTCCAACAACAACAACGCCTGCTCCAACAACAACAACGTCTGCCCCAACAACACCTGCTCTAACAACAAAAACGTCTGCCCCAACAACAACAACAACAACAAGTCTGCCGCAACAACAACAACGCCTGCTCCAACAACAATAACACCACACGCTCCAACAACAACAACGTCTGCCCCAACAAGAACAACGTCTGCCCCAACAACAACAACACCTGCTCCAACAACAACAACAACGTCTGCTCCAACAACAACAACACCTGCTCCAACTACAACAACGTCTGCCCCAACAACTAGAATGCCTGCTCCAAAAAGAACAACGTCTGCTCCAACAACAACGTCTGCCCCAACAAAAACAACAACAACAACGTCTGCCCCAACAACAACAACAACGCTGCTCCAACCACAACAACACCCCAACCACAACAAAGCCTGCTCCGACAACAACAACGCCTGCTCCAACATCAACAACGTCTGCCCCAACAACAACAACAACACCTGCTCCAACAAGAACAACGCCAGATCCAACAACAACAACGTCTGCTCCAACAACAACAACGTCTGCCCCAACAACACCAATGCCTGCTCCAACATCAACAAATACACCTGCTCCAACAACAACGTCTGCCCCGACAACAACAACGTCTGCCCCAACAACAACAACAACAACGTATGCTCCAACAACAACAACACCTGCTCCAACAACAACAATGTCTGCCCCTACAACAACAACAACGTCTGCTCCAAAAACAACAACGTCTGCTCCAAAAACAACAACACCTGCTCCAACAACAACAACGTCTGCCCCAACAACAACAACAACAACAACGTCTGCTCCAAAAACAACAACACCTGCTCCAACAACAACAACGTCTGCTCCAACAACAACAACGCCTGCTCCAACAACAACAACGCCTGCTCCAACAACAATAACATCTGCCCCAACAACAACAACACCTGCTCCAACAACAACAACGCCAGCTCCAACAACAACAACAACACCTGCTCCAACAACAACGTCTGCCCCAACAAAAACAATGCCTGCTGCAAGAACCACAACGTCTGCCACAACAACACCAATGCCTGCTCCAACATCAACAAATACACCTGCTCCAACAACGTCTGCCCCGACAACAACAACGTCTGCCCCAACAACAACAACAACAACGTATGCTCCAACAACAACAACACCTGCTCCAACAACAACAATGTCTGCCCCTACAACAACAACAACGTCTGCTCCAAAAACAACAACGTCTACTCCAAAAACAACAACACCTGCTCCAACAACAACAACGTCTGCCCCAACAACAACAACGTCTGCTCCAAAAACAACAACACCTGCTCCAACAACAACAACGCCTTCTCCAACAACAACAACGCCTGCTCCAACAACAACAACGCCTGCTCCAACAACAATAACATCTGCCCCAACAACAACAACGCCAGCTCCAACAACAACAACAACACCTGTTCCAACAACAACGTCTGCCCCAACAAAAACAATGCCTGCTGCAAGAACAACAACGTCTGCCACAACAACAACAAAAACAACAACAATGTCTGCTCAAACAACAACAACAATGCCTGCTCCAACAACAACAACAACACACGCTCCAACAACAACAACAACACTGCCCCAACAACAACAAGTCTGCCCCAACAACAAAAACACCTGCTCCAACAACAACAACAACGCCTGCTCCAACAACAACAACACCTGCTCCAACTACAACAACGTCTGCCCCAACAACAAGAATGCCTGCTCCAAAAACAACAACGCCTGCTCCAACAACATCAACGCCTGCCCCAACAACAACAACAACAACAACGTCTGCCCCAACAACAACAACACCTGCTCCAACCACAACAACGCCTGCTCCGACAACAACAACGCCTGCTCCAACAACAACAACGCCTGCCCCAACAACAACAACACCTGCTCCAACAAGAACAACGCCTGATCCAACAACAACAACGTCTGCTCCAACAACAACAACGTCTGCCCACAACAACAACAATGCCTGCTCCAACATCAACAAATACACCTGCTCCAACAACAACGCCTGCCCCGACAACAACAACGTCTGCCCCAACAACAACAACAACAACGTATGCTCCAACAACAACAACACCTGCTCCAACAACAACAATGTCTGCCCCTACAACAACAACAACGTCTGCTCCAAAAACAACAAAAACGCCTGCTCCAAAAACAACAACACCTGCTCCAACAACAACAACGTCTGCCCCAACAACAACAACAACAACAACGCCTGCTCCAAAAACAACAACACCTGCTCCAACAACAACAACAACCTCCAACAACAACAATGTCCTTCTGAAACAACAACAACAACGCCTGCTCCAACAACAACAACGCCTGCTCCAACAACAATAACATCTGCCCCAACAACAACAACACCTGCTCCAACAACAACAACGCCAGCTCCAACAACAACAACACAAAACACCTGCTCCAACAACAACGTCTGCCCCAACAAAAACAATGCCTGCTCCAAGAACCACAACGTCTGCCCCAACAACACAATACGCCTGCTCCAACATCAACAAATACACCTGCCCCAACAACAGTCTGCCCCGACAACAACAACGTCTGCCCCAACAACAACAACAACAACGTATGCTCCAACAACAACAACGTCTGCTCCAAAAACAACAACGTCTGCTCCAACAACAACAACACCTGCTCCAACAACAACAACGCCTGCCCCAACAACAACATCGTCTGCTACAACAACACCTGCTCCAACAACAACAACGCCTGCTCCAACAACAACAACACCTGCTCCAACAACAACAACGCCTGCTCCAACAACAACAACACCTGCTCCAACAACAACAACGCCTGCTCCAACAACAACAACAACAACCTGCTCCAACAACAACACCTGCCCCAACAACAACAACAATGCCTGCTCCAAGAACAACAACGTCTGCCACAACAACAACAAAAACAACAACAATGTCTGCTCAAACAACAACAACAATGCCTGCTCCAACAACAACAACACCTGCTCCAACAACAACCACAACACCTGCTCCAACAACAACGTCTGCCCCAACAACAAAAATGCCTGCCCCAACAACAACAACGCCAGCTCCAACAACAACAACAACACCTGCTCCAACAATAACGTCTGCCCCAACAAAAACAATGCTTGCTCCAAGAACAACAACGCCTGCCCCAACAACATCAACGCCTGCCCCAACAACAACAACGTCTGCCCCAACAACAACAACACCTGCTCCAACAACAACAACGTCTGCCCCAACAACAACAAAGCCTGCTCCAACAACAACAACACCTGCTCTGACAACAACAACGCCTGCTCCAACAACAACAACATCTGCCAACAACAACAACAACAACAACAACGTCTGCTCCAACAACAACAACAACGTCTGCTCCAAAAACAACAACACCTGCTCCAACAACAACAACACCTGCTCCAACAACAAAACCTTCTCCAACAACAACGCCTGCTGCAACAACAACAACGTCTGCCCAAACAACAACAACGTCTGCCCCAACAACAACAACGCCTGCTGCAACAACAGCAACGTCTGCCCAGACACCAACAACGTCTGCCTCAACAACAAGAACAAAAACGCCTGCTCCAATAACAACAATGCCTGCTCCAACAACAACACCTGCTCCAACAACAACAACAAGAACGCCTGCTCCAACAACAACAACGTCTGCCACAACAACAACAAAAACAACAACAATGTCTGCTCAAACAACAACAACAATGCCTGCTCCAACAACAACCACAACACCTGCTCCAACAACAACATCTGACCCAACAACAAAAATGCCTGCCCCAACAACAACAACGCCTGCTCCAACAACAACAACAACGTCTGCTCCAACAACAACAACACCTGCTCGAACAACAACAACGTCTGCCCCAACAACAACAACGCCTGCTCCAACAACAACAACGTCTGCTCCAACAACAAATACGCCTGCTCCAACAACAAAAATGCCTGCCCCAACAACAACAACGCCTTCTCCAACAACAACAACGTCTGCCACAACAACACCTGCTCCAACAACAACAACGTCTGCCCCAACAACAACAACGCCTGCTCCAACAACAACAACGTCTGCTCCAACAACAAATACGCCTGCTCCAACAACAACAATGCCTGCTCCAACAACAACAACACCTGCTCCAACAAGAGCAATGTCTGCTCCAACAACAACAACGCCTGCTCCAACAACAACAACGTCTGCCCCAACAACAACACCTGCTCCAACAACGTCTGCCCCAACAACAACAACAACAACAACGTCTGCCACAACAACAACAACAACAACAACAACGTCTGCCCCAACAACAACAACAACAACAACAACGTCTGCCCCAACAACAACAACAACAACAACAACGTCTGCCCAAACAACAACGTCTGCTCCAACAACAACAACACCTGCTTCAACAACAGCAACGTCTGCTCCAACAACAGCAACGTCTGCTCCAACCACAACAACGCCTGCTCCAACAACAACAATGCCTGCTCCAACAACACCAACGTCTGCCCCAACAACAACAACAACGTCTGCTCCAACAACAACAACACCTGCTCCAACAACAACAACAACAACAACAACAATGCCTGCTCCAACAACAACACCTGCTCAGATTACAACAACGGCAGCAACATCTGGTCTGACTGCTCTGAATGCTAGTTTCAATGTGAGCATAACAGAAAGTAAGTAAACACAACACAATGTTTCACTGTAATCAGGATAGAAACATTAGAAATAATGTGATGTTCTGTTTTTAAGCCAAATTATGTTGTAATCAAAAATTATAAGAAATGTAGGTATAGCCAAGATTATTCAGAATCCATTCAACAGTGTGATGTAGGGCAGGGTGAGCTATTCTCTAAACTACCTTGTATTCTGCTAAAAATAATTTTATGTAAACAATTTGTTATTAACTGTGAGACTTTTGACATCAACAAATTCTTAACTACATAAGATACCAAAGAACTGCAAAACCAAGTCTTTCTAAACCTTTTATGATGGAACTTTTGAGTCTGTGAAACTGGTACCAAAGCCAGTTACAAATCAAAAAACTTTTTTCCCTTTTAAAATATTTTCTTTTACTTTAAAAAGAATGTTTTCCCAGCAGGTCCAGTTCCTATGACTGCCAGATCCACGTCTCCTGCATCTTTAAACATCACCGGCTTCGACATTGAAGCTGACTCCATCAGCATAAGTAAGCAATCTTGAGTGCTACGTGATTAGAAAGTAACACAACTATTTGCTAAACTAATATTTTGTTTCCTGACCTCCTCCTTTACAGCTTCAAGTGGAGTAAGCCACAAGATCAATCTCATCTCCACATCTTGCCTTGTACTGGTGTCATGGCTACTGACAAGCCAGAAATAGCATCAGTGCTGACTTCCATTTGACTTTCTGTGACATTAGTCTCAAAATAAAGATAGAATAAGTGCAAGCAAAGATTAATAGTCTTCTATTGTATGCAAAATTCCCGTTTAGGTTTCACCTAATGACATAGAATAGCAGCATCTTCACAGCTCCACAGAGATCATATCATAAAGCCGATGTATCTTAAATAAATGAATGTATGCAGCTCATAGTGGGCTGCACACACCAACCCTGAACCAATATATAGTTTTATTTAGGGTCATGGAATTCATGATATATACTGTATGTTAAAACAATGCACTGTCAGTTATTCTATATATGTATGTAAATGTATGTATATGTAACCATGCATAGCTTTATTCTGTGTGATTTCTTGCAGTTTGTTTCTGATAATGAAATCAGAATCTGAAAATGATCAGAATACAAAATCTGAAGAATTCAAATATTTTTTTGTGATGTTTCGCAAAGTGTATCAGGGCTTTTTTTTTATGTCAGCATCTTTAAAGTTTTCAAGTAATCAAAGTAGTGTGTAGTGTGATTTCATTTTTTTTATACAGGAAACAGGTAGTTCTTACAACTTGAGCGTTGTTCTCCAATCTTAACCAAAATGCACGTCTGATAGGAGTCTCACCCTGAACACATCTACATGAAAATATTCAGCCATAGTGAAGTTAGTAACATGCATTAATGGAACATGAATGAGTGCAGAAAGAGAGAGGAAGAGAGGAGCTCAGTGCACCATGGGAAATCCCCCGATAGTCTAGGCCTATAGCAGCATAACTAAGGGATGGTTCAGGACTCACCTGATCCAGCCCTAACTATAAGCTTTATCAAAGAGGAATGTCTTAAGCCTACTCTTGAATGTGGAGAGGGTGTCTGCCTCCCGAACCACAACTGGAAGCTGGTTCCACAGGAGAGGAGCTTGGTAACTGAAGGCTCTGGCTCCTGTTCTACTTTTAGAGACTATAGGAACCACAAGTAGCCCAGCATTCAGAGAACGTAGTGTTCTAGAGGGGTAATAAGGTACAATGAGCTTTTTAAGATATGAAGGGGCCTGACCATGAAGAGCTTTATAGGTGAGGAGGAGGATTTTAAATTCTATTCTACATTTTACAGGGAGCCAATGCAGAGAAGCTAGTACAGGAGAGATGTGATCTCTTTCTCTAGTTCCTGTCAGTACTCGTGCTGCAGCGTTCTGAATTAATTGGAGTGTTTTAATGGACTTATTGGGGCAACCTGATAATAAAGAGTTGCAGTAATCCAGCCTTGAAGTAACAAATGCATGGATTAGTTTTTCTGCATCTGTCTGTGATAGTATGTGTCTAATTTTTGTAATATTACGTAAATGAAAGAAGGCAGTCCTAGAGGTTTGCTTTATGTGGGAGTTAAATGACAAATCCTGATCAAAGATAACTCCAAGATTCCTGACAGTGGTGCTAGAGGCCAAGTTAATGCCATCTAGAGTAACTATATCTTTAGACAGTGAGTCTCTAAGGTTTTTCGGGCCAAGAACAAGAATTTTGTTTTTTTCTGAGTTTAACATCAGAAAATTGCAGGTCATCCAGGATTTTTTGTCCTTAAGACATGTTTGTAATTTAGATAATTGATTAATTTCATCGGGCTTGATTGATAGATATAACTGCGTATCATCTGCATAACAGTGAAAGTAAATGGAGTGATTCCTAATAATGTTGCCTGAAGGGAGCGTATATAAAGTAAATAGTATTGGTCCAAGTACAGAACCTTGTGGAACTCCATGACTAACTGTAGTATTTATTGAAGATTCATCGTTAACATGTACAAACTGCAAGCGATCTGATAAATATGACTTAAACCAGCTTAGTGCGGTTCCTTTAACGCCAATTTGATTCTTAAGTCTCTGTAAAAGAATATTACAACGCCTGCTCCAACAACAACCACAACACCTGCTCCAACAACATCGTCTGCCCCAACAACAAAAATGCCTGCCCCAACAACAACAACGCCTGCTCCAACAACAACAACGTCTGCCACAACAAAACCTGCTCCAACAACAACAACGTCTGCTCCAACAACAAATACGCCTGCTCCAACAACAAATACGCCTGCTCCAACAACAACAACACCTGCTCCAACAAGAGCAACGTCTGCTCCAACAACAACAACGCCTGCTCCAACAACAACAACGTCTGCCCCAACAACAACAACACCAGTGGGGTATTGCACAAAAGTAGGATAAAGAAATCCAGGATAATTGAGCAAGCGCGGCTTGACTTAGCCTGCTCGGCGCATCCTGGCTTAATCGGTTGCACGTTTGCCGAGCCAGGATTAAAAGGTGCGGCTATGTTAAGCCAGGTGTAGATAGTCGGGATAAGTGCGTGTTCACGGCATACTGAAATAGACCTCGCGATCGCTCACAGAATCACCGATGGGAACATGGATAAAACACACGTTTCGTATTTCACGGCCGCTGAACAACATCTCCTGATGGAGTTCTATGAAGAGGTGGAAGATAGAAGAAAAAAAGGCAATACCAATGCCATAATTAAAGAAAGAGAGAAAGCCTGGCAGACAATAATAATAAACAGTGCTCCACTGGAACTGTCATAATTAGGCTCCAATTAAAGGACTAAAGGAGTTACTTCAAGTCCACTAATCAACTGTTGTACACTTTGCTTTAAATGTGGCAAGTAGAGGTGCATGTTACTCAGGAAATGTAAAGTATGATTAAGTGCAAACAATTATCCACAATGTGTGTCATTTAATCTATTTTTATCTATTTTATCTTTCTATCCTTCATAAAGAACAAACTTGTCTGGCCATAAAAGGACCTGGCAGCAAGTTAAAGTTAAATACAAGAACATTTTGCAGGCTGGAAAGTGACTATAAAGTAGATAACAGTGAATAAATGAGGTGAATAGATTAGGTATCTGCTGACATGTTGAATGTCTGTATGATTGTAGCAGTTAAAAAAAGCCCATAGAACTGGCACAGGGGGCGGCCCACCAAGCCAGGATATGTACGGAAAATGGTTCCTTTATTGAGGTTCTCTGCATCCCCAACAGAATAAAGGAAGCTCCCACTTGCAAAACATCTCACTGTAACACAGACCATCTGTGGTACAGTGAGAGCATGGCTTCCTGCCGTCTGGTGCTGTATTTTTGGACCCAGCAGCCTACATAAATATCTTAGTCCATCACCTGAGAATCTGTATCTCTCAATGAGATAGTCCTCTCCAACGGCCAATGGGTCTGACCTGTCCCAGAAGACTCTTGCATGACTAAATGCTCGTCTGAGGATTAGGGCTTCCTCATCCAGTACATCCTCCAAAAAAGAGCAAGCCATTATGAAGAGGGAACAGGGTGAAAGTGATATAATATATATATATATATATATATATATATATATATATATATATATATACATATAATAAACATATACATATATATATATATATGTATATGTATGTATATATATATATACTATGGCATGCCGTTTAGGAAATGAAGCTTTGGACATATGGAATGAATCTTGGATATACTGATAAAAATGTGAGAATACTGAATGAAATTGAAAACCTAGTTGTATCCTTTTCATCAAAGTGATAGCCTTCTGAATTAGCTGGTTTTACAAAATGGCATCAGTTGAAATATTACAATACTTTCTTAAACTGGAAAACTTTTTTGCTTTTTCTGTCAGGATTTAGCCTGAGGCCTGTTGTAGTCGGCCTGCCACCATTAAAAAGGGAGTGAACTTCTTCGTCAGGAGAACGGTATTGGGCACGGGTACTATCGGGAGGATTTTGGCCCGTACAAGCACTTGCCAATGAGTTAATAATGTCCTCATTGCTCAGTATTGCTGCCACAAGGTTCCTGACTGACTCATTCTCACTTCTACAAGATGGCAGCAGTGCCTTGATGACCAGTCAAGTTTCATTCTATATATTCAAAGATTAATTTTATATATTCAAAGATTAATTTCCTAAACGGCATGCCATAATATATATACTATATTGCCCTTGTCACAGATTTCATTGAAAACACCTTTGCAACTTCATCAGCTGTGTTTTGTAATCTTAATTACTGCAATAAACACATATTTATGCAGTTTGACAAGCAGTCTTCATTAGCATAGCAATATAACACTTGTCCTGAGTAATAATACTACCACTTGAATTAATATAAAAAGACTGTTGCAATTACAAACAGCCAACAGATTTAAATGAAATAAGAAATTACAATATATATGTAATATTTTAATGCAGGATAATTCAAATGATGCAACATACTTAGAAAGACCATGGACATGCTGTAAAACACATTAATTCCTCACAGGATTGATGGTGGAAATACAGGTGAATCACTAGGATTAATCTTAGCCTGGCTGTTAGCCTGGTCTGGAGCAGGCTAGCTGCAGAGAATAAATCACCATAGTAACTTGGCCGGGATAAGTTTAACCTGCTTTCATGCAACCGACTTGAGGCTAAATTAAGCCAGGATAACCAACATATCCCGGCTTAATCCCTTATCCTGGTTTTGTGCAATACCCCTCTGGCTTAATTTAGCCTCAAGTCGGTTGCATGAAAGCAGGTTAAACTTATCCCGGCCAAGTTACTATGGTGATTTATTCTCTGCAGCTAGCCTGCTCCAGACCAGGCTAACAGCCAGGCTAAGATTAATCCTAGTGATTCACCTGTATTTCCACCGTCAATCCTGTGAGGAATTAATGTGTTTTACTGCATGTCCATGGTCTTTCTAAGTATGTTGCATCATTTGAATTATCCTGCATTAAAATATTACATATATATTGTAATTTCTTATTTCATTTAAATCTGTTGGCTGTTTGTAATTGCAACAGTCTTTTTATATTGATTCAAGTGGTAGTATTATTACTCAGGACAAGTGTTATATTGCTATGCTAATGAAGACTGCTTGTCAAAATGCCGTCAGAGGTTTAATAAATATGTGTTTATTGCAGTAATTGAGATTACAAAACACAGCTGATGAAGTTGCAAAGCTGTTTTCAATGAAATCTACGAGGACAATATAGTATATATAGGCTACTCCCATTTATTCTGTTCCCTCTTCAAAAGTTTCCTTTTTTGGAGGATGCAGAGGAATCCTCAAAGATTAGGGTGAAAGAGGGAACCATTGGCCTTTGGAGATGACTTCTCATTAATATGACAATAGACGTGTTGTCGGCACTGATCATTCAGCAACAGAAAATTTGCCGCACAATAAGACGTGTTTGTCTGGCACTGAAGTCATTCAGCAACATATTCATCACCTTCCCTGGCCACAGAAGACCCCTCTACATCAAGGAGGAGTTTTACAAGATTGCAGGTAACCTCAATTTAAACGTGCAACCATTAGTTTGTAATTTGATCAGTCAGTTGGATACTCACTATTTTTTGTTACAGCTTTCCCTAACATCATTGGTGCAGTGGATTGCACACACATAAGAATCAAACGCCCCTCAGGAGAACATGAGGGAGATTATGTTAACAGGAAATCCTTCCACAGCATCAATGTTCAGGTAAGAGTGATTTGTGCTTACTATGACCTGCATAAATTAACTCTGTGCATTAAATGACCTTAATAGGTTACAACTTAACATTTCAGATGATATGTGATGCTGACTGCCTTGTCAGCAATTTAGAGGCAAAGTGGCCTGGCTCAGTGCATGACTCCAGAGTCTTTCGGGCTAGTCCAATTTATGGGAGACTTTCACAAGGTAAGCCACACATTTTATTTGTGCTGTAAGCACCTTGGACATCATGTGTGTTTAACTCTGCCGTGTAGTTTTCTAAATGATATCTTGCATTATCAGGCGAATTCTCTGGTGTGCTGCTGGGAGACAAAGGCTACGCCTGCGAGTCATTCCTCTTGACTCCCCTTGCGGACCCCCAAACCCCACCACAGCAGGCCTACAACCAAGCACACAATAAAACAAGGGCTCGAATCGAGATGACCTTCGGCCTTCTGAAATCTCGGTTTCAGTGCCTGCACCACCTGAGAGTTTCCCTGGACAGGGCCTGTGATGTCATTGCTGCATGCGCAGTACTGCATAACATTGCAGGCCTGAGAAAGGAGAGGCCCCCCCGAGTGGCTGTTCATGTTGACTGGGAAAATGCTCCCATCTTCCCAGACAACATTAATGGCAGACTTGTCAGGGAGCAATATATTGCACATTTCTTCTCTTAATTTTTGGATTTAGCCTCTTTAGTTAATAAAATATCTTAAATGTTATTTTGCTGTGTTGTTTAGCATTGGTGGTTCTTTTAAATTCTACTTCACATTCATGAAATACGGAGGACACCACAATGTTTTCTAGTTGAATTTTTATTTGGCAGCCCTCATTTGCCTTGGTTGCTTGGATCCTGGAATAGAGAGAACAAAAGCAACAAAGATTAAAACGCTGTACGGCAGTTATGGTTACTGTGTGCACTGAAATACTCACTTCTCTTTCTAGTTTCTGGATTTCCAGGTCCAGTTTCCTGAGTGTCCGACGTTTAATTTCAAGATCCAGCTCCATTTCTTGGAGCTTTCTCTTCTTCAGTTTTATTTTAACATCTGCCAGCTCTATCTGTCTCTCCAGGTGCTTCGCATAAAGCCTTCTGACAGTTTGTGAAGTCTGTAAAAGAAATGTCAAATAAGCAAAGCAGGATTTGTGCATAATATAGATTTACTTTGGCCAATACTCACAATGTTACCAGGCTGCTTAGGAGACTGTGCATCATCTGTGTCCTGTTACACATATTTTCTATTAGCACCACATCACAGACTTCATATCCTTTATGGACAAGAAGGATATTTCCATAAAATTGACATACCTCAAGCCTTCTGGAGTCCAGTGACACAGTCTCCTCATCTGCAGAAGTGCATTCTGCAGCTGCAGATGTGCCTTCCCCCTGCCATATACATACATACATACATACATACATACATACATACATACATACATTTGAGAGAACTTGAATTAAGATTTCACAGGACATACCAAGCCTGTGATTTCAATACAATGTACTAACCGGATCATCTTCTGGTGGCTCCAAAAGTGTAAGCGTGTTCCCAGACACTGCAAGGAAATCTAAAGTCAGACAGTATAATAGATTTATTTGATTGTGGTCTGTGTGCTGTAGTACGGCAATATGTACCTTGTATGAAGCGGACAGTTTCTGTGGCTGGGATAGAGTCCGTTACTGTCCCTCCCTGGATCCCCTCCATCACTGGCCTCCCTTATTTAAATGGAGTGCCAGCTCCTCCGCCGGGGTCATATCCTGGCTTGGTGGGCCGCCCCCTGTGCCAGTTCTATGGTCTTTTTTTTTAACTGCTACAATCATACAGACATTAACATGTGAGCAGACACCTAATCTATTCACCTCATTTATTCACTGTTATCTACTTTATAGTCACTTACCAGCCTGCAAAATGTTCTTGTATTTAACTTTAACTTGCTGCCAGGTCCTTTTATGGCCAGACAAGTTTGTTCTTTATGAAGGATAGAAAGATAAAATAGATAAAAACGTAACATGACAAAAATAGATTAAATGACACACATTGTGGATAATTGTTTGCACTTAATCATACTCTACATTTAAGTAACATGCACCGCTACTTGCCACACAAGCAAAGTGTACAACAGTTGATTAGTGGACTTAAAGTAACTCCTTTAGTCCTTTAATTGGAGCCTAATTATGACAGTTCCAGTGGAGCACTGTTTATTCATTGTACAGTTTTGGACTACTTACGCATTAAGCCGGTCCGCTATTGTCTGCCAGGCTTTCTCTCTTTCTTTAATTATGGCACTGGTATTGCCTTTTTTTCTTATGGTATCTTTCACCTCTTCATAGAACTCCATCAGGAGATGTTGTTCAGCGGGCGTGAAATACGAAGCTCGTGTTTTATCCATGTTCCGATCGGTGTTTCTGTGAGCGATCGCGAGGTCTAGTTCAGTATGCCGTGAACCCGCACTTATCCCGACTATCTACACCTGGCTTAACATAGCCGCACCTTTTCATCCTGGCTCGACAAACGTGCAACCGATTAAGCCAGGATGAGCCGAGCAGGCTAAGTCAAGCCGCGCTTGCTCAATTATCCTGGATTTCTTTATCCTACTTTTGTGAAATACCCCACTGGTCTGACTGCTCTGAATGCTAGTTTCAATGTGAGCATAACAGAAAGTAAGTAAACACAACACAATGTTTCACTGTAATCAGGATAGAAACATTAGAAATAATGTGATGCTCTGTTTTTAAGCCAAATTATGTTGTAATCAAAAATTATAAGAAATGTAGGTATAGCCAAGATTATTCAGAATCCATTCAACAGTGTGATGTAGGGCAGGGTGAGCTATTCTCTAAACTACCTTGTATTCTGCTAAAAATAATTTTATGTAAACAATTTGTTATTAACTGTAAGACTTTTGACATCAACAAATTCTTAACTACATAAGATACCAAAGAACTGCAAAACCAAGTCTTTCTAAACCTTTTATGATGGAACTTTTGAGTCTGTGAAACTGGTACCAAAGCCAGTTACAAATCAAAAAACTTTTTTTCTTTTAAAATATTTTCTTTTACTTTAAAAAGAATGTTTTCCCAGCAGGTCCAGTTCCTATGACTGCCAGATCCACGTCTCCTGCATCTTTAAACATCACCGGCTTCGACATTGAAGCTGACTCCATCAGCATAAGTAAGCAATCTTGAGTGCTACGTGATTAGAAAGTTACACAACTATTTGCTAAACTAATATTTTGTTTCCTGACCTCCTCCTTTACAGCTTCAAGTGGAGTAAGCCACAAGATCAATCTCATCTCCACATCTTGCCTTGTACTGGTGTCATGGCTACTGACAAGCCAGAAATAGCATCAGTGCTGACTTCCATTTGACTTTCTGTGACATTAGTCTCAAAATAAAGATAGAATAAGTGCAAGCAAAGATTAATAGTCTTCTATTGTATGCAAAATTCCCGTTTAGGTTTCACCTAATGACATAGAATAGCAGCATCTTCACAGCTCCACAGAGATCATATCATAAAGCCGATGTATCTTAAATAAATGAATGTATGCAGCTCATAGTGGGCTGCACACTGATAGGAGTCTCACCCTGAACACATCTACATGAAAATATTCAGCCATACCCATAGTGCCCTCTATTGGCAAGAGGAAATGTCATGTTTAATACTTTCACGTACTCCTTGCAGATTACAGTTTTTACGATTGTTTATACACTAAAATAAAAATTTCCACATAATTTGCAAAATTCTACTCCAAGGAGCAAAACACCTCCACAGATTTGCACAACATTACACACAATGTCTGCTTCACCCTTTTTGCAAAACATTACACACAGTGATTTGTAAAACTCTACACACATTTTCACACCTTAGACACCGATAAGGATTGTGAGGTTACTTCCTTGTCATTACAAAGCCCCAGATTGCCAATGACCACACTAATGAACAAATTGGATAATCACATCCACCAGGTGTGGAAGCACACGTGCTAATTTGAAAACGCAGCACTCAGGTGTGCTATAAAAGACAGCAGGTGAGTTCACCTGTCTTCAACAGAAATGGAAGGAGCTAGAAGAAGGGGAGTGAGAATGAGAGGGGGAGCGCAAAGAGGAGATGAAGGAGGTAGAGGACAAGGAGGTGGAGGAGGAGGCCCAGGTAGAGGAAGAGGAGAAGAAGGAGCTAGAGGAAGAGGCCTAGGTAGAGGAAGAGGTAGAGAAGGACTTGAAAAGTTGATAGAACCTGAACAAAGAAGACGAGGACCATTTGACTCAAGAAATCCGTGCAACACTTATTGACCATGTTTTCAATTCAATTCAATTCAATTCTCACCCAAACTGGAAAACACTGCAGCCAGTTCTATTTGGTATAGTGTACGCTCCTGGACCGTACTCTGATTTTATATCTGAATTCTCAGAGTTTTTATCAAGTTTAGTCCTTAAATCAGATAAAGTAATTATTGTAGGTGATTTTAATATTCATGTGGATGTTGACAATGACAGCCTTAGTAACGCATTTATATCATTAATAGACTCAATTGGCTTCTGTCAGAGTGTAAATAAACCAACTCATTGTTTTAATCACACTCTTGACCTTGTTTTATCATATGAAATATCATATATTATATTGAACATTTAATAGCCTTCCCACATAATCCTTTCCTATCTGACCATTATTTAGTAACTTTTGAATTCATGTTGTTAGATTATAAGCCATTAGGCAAAACTTCCTACAGCAGATGTCTATCTGACAGTGCTGTAGCTAAATTTAAGGAGGAGATTCCTTCAGTGTTTAATTCAATGCCATGTCTGAATTTAACAGAGTCCTATAACGACTTTAGTCCCTCCGAAATTGATAATCTTGTCGATAGTGCTGCAGGCTCACTACGATCAACATTAGACTCTATCGCTCCTATAAAAAGGAAATTATTAAAACATAGGAGACTAGCACCTTGGTATAACCACCAAACCCGCCAGTTAAAACAAATAGCTAGGAAATCTGAAAGGAAATGGCGCTCTTCCAAATGATCAGAATATCGCTCAAATTGGCAAGATAATCTGAAAACTTATGGAAAGGCCCTCCCTAATGCCAGAGGAGCCTATTACTCAGCACTAATAGAAGAGAACAACCCTAGGTTCCTCTTCAGCACTGTAGCCAGGCTGACAGAGAGTCACAGCTCTATCGAGCCACATATGCCCATAAACTTAAGTAGCAATGACTTCATGAGCTTCTTCTATAATAAAATTATTACTATTAGAGAGAAAATTAATCACCAACTGCCATCAACAATTATCAGTGGCTCTCCAAGTTCAGGGACTTCTGTCAATGTAAACTCAGATATATATTTAGACTGTTTTTCTGCTATCGACCTTCATCAGTTAACTTCAATCATTTCTTCATCAAAGCCATCAACCTGTCTATTAGACCCGATCCCAACTAGGCTGCTTAAAGAAGTTGTTCCCTTAATTGGCACTTCTTTACTGGATATGATTAATCTTTCTTTATTATCAGGATATGTACCACAGTCCTTTAAAGTAGCTGTAATTAAACCCCTTCTTAAAAAGTCCACTCTTGACCCAGGGGTTTTAGCCAACTATAGACCGATCTCTAACCTCCCCTTCCTCTCTAAGATTCTGGAGAAAGTAGTCGCCAAAGAGTTGTGTGACTTTCTACATAACAATAGTTTATTTGAGGATTTTCAGTCAGGATTTAGAGTTCATCATAGCACAGAGACAGCTCTGGTTAAAGTTAATAATGACCTTCTGACTGCTTCTGACAATGCACTTGTCTCTGTACTTGTATTATTAGATCTTAGTGCTGCATTTGACACCATTGACCATAATATTATTTTACAGAGACTTGAGCATCAAATTGGCATTAAAGGAACCGCACTAAGCTGGTTTAAGTCATATTTATCAGATCGCTCGCAGTTTGTACATGTTAACGATGAATCTTCAATAAATACTACAGTTTGTCATGGAGTTCCACAAGGTTCTGTACCTGGACCAATACTATTTACTTTATATATGCTCCCTTTAGGCAACATTATTAGGAATCACTCCATTAACTTTCACTGTTATGCAGATGATACGCAGTTATATCTATCAATCAAACCCAATGAAATTAATCAATTATCTAGACTACAAACATGTCTTACGGACATAAAATCCTGGATGACCTGCAATTTTCTGATGTTAAACTCAGAAAAAAACGAAATTCTTGATCTTGGCCCCAAAAACCTTAGAGACTCATTGTCTAAAGATATAGTCACTCTAGATGGCATTAACTTGGCCTCTAGCACCACTGTCAGGAATCTTGGAGTTATCTTTGATCAGGATTTGTCATTTAACTCCCACATAAAGCAGACCTCTAGGACCGCCTTCTTTCATTTACGTAATATTAGAAAAATTAGACACATCCTGTCACAGACAGATGCAGAAAAACTAATCCATGCATTTGTTACTTCAAGGCTGGATTACTGCAACTCTTTATTATCAGGTTGGCCCAATAAGTGCATTAAAACGCTCCAATTAATTCAGAACGCTGCAGCACGAGTACTGACAGGAACTAGAAAAAGAGATCACATCTCTCCTGTACTAGCTACTCTGCATTGGCTCCCTGTAAAATGTAGAATTGAATTTAAAATCCTCCTCCTCACCTATAAAGCTCTTCATGGTCAGGCCCCTTCATATCTTAAAGAGCTCATAGTACCCTATTACCCCACTAGAACACTACGTTCTCTGAATGCTGGGCTACTTGTGGTTCCTATAGTCTCTAAAAGTAGAACAGGAGCCAGAGCCTTCAGTTACCAAGCTCCTCTCCTGTGGAACCAGCTTCCAGTTGTGGTTCGGGAGGCAGACACCATCACCACATTCAAGAGTAGGCTTAAGACATTCCTCTTTGATAAAGCTTATAGTTAGGGCTGGATCAGGTGAGTCCTGAACCATCCCTTAGTTATGCTGCTATAGGCCTAGACTATCGGGGGATTTCCCATGGTGCACTGAGCTCCTCCCTTCCTCTCTCTTTATGCACTCATTCATGTTCCATTAATGCATGTTACTAACTCCACTTCTTCCCCGGAGTTCTTGTGCTTTCTCGTCTCGCAGGTTCTCATGGATCCTGGTGGAGCCTCCTGCCATGGTCCTGCTTGACTGCCATTGCCAATACTGTTGTTGCTGTGCACCTGTCTGTCTGTCTGTCTGTCTCTCTCTCTCTCTCTCTCTCTCTCTCTCTGCCTCTCTCTCTCTCTCTCTCTCTCTCTCTCTCTCTCTCTCTCTCTCTCTCACCCCAACTGGTCGAGACAGACGACCACCCACCTAGAGCCGGAGGATCTGTCCTAGATTTCTGCCTTTTAACAGGCAGTTTTTCCTTGCCCTTGTCGCCAAGTGCTTGCTCATGGTGGTACTGTTGGGTCTCTGTAATTAATGTTAAAGAGTTCGGTCTAGACCTGCTCTATTTGAAAAGTGTCCTGAGATAACTTCTGTTATGAATTGGCGCTATACAAATAAAATTGAATTGAATTGAATTGAATTATTATTCATCCCCCATTGTTATGGCTATTGTCGTAGTCGTCATCATCTTCTTCATCTTCATCATCATTATCGTATTCATCATCATCAGTCATTTCTTCCCGTATAGTTGTTGTGCACCCTCTCCTCTCTCTCTCTCTCTCTCTCTCTCTCTCTCTCTCTCTCTCTCTCTCTCTCACCTAGAGTCGGGGTCTGACCGAGGTTTCTGTCTCTTAAAAGGAAGTTTTTCCTTGCCGTCGTAGTGTCCTGGAAAGAAGACCACAACGGAATTAGTTTTTTTTTTCATTATCCTTGACATTTTGAATGAATATGTTTTAGTCACATTGTTGGACATGGTATAGATGTATATATTTGAGAAGCCAAATAAATTAAATAAAATCAAATAGTGTGAACATGTTTGAATTGCATTTCAGTGAATTTACTATATTTGTTGAAGTAGCTGATTGTAAATACAGTCAGTGAATGCTACTGAGCCAAGATCCAAATAGATAATTTAAAGTCTATAACAGAGAATTCCTGAATAAGATTGTGAATTACAATCATGTGTCAATATGTTTGATATATGTATATATCAAACATATATGTCCATGTCCACAGAATCTAATGCTAACTGAATATCACACTAAGCAAGGTAGACCAGATGTCCTTCTCTTCAGCAATGTTTACCAGCTCCTCCGTCTGAGGTATTCACAGGCCAGAAGAGATATTTAATCCCTCCAGCAAGTTCTGGGTCTACCCTCAGGGTCTCTTCCCAGTTGGACTAATACGGAAAACCTCTAAAAAAAGGTGCCCAGGAGGCATCCTAATCAGTTACAGAGACCACCAACAATTTTCATACATAAAAAATATAATGCAAAGTGCTTCACACAATAACACACCATGAGATTATTACAATTCACCACCAGTTTGTAACCTGCTGTTATGTCTGGCAGTGATTACAGGATGTATTGAGTAAGAGCTTGGGGTGTTACTATACTTATGGGTACTGCAGGGGGAGCTTGTGGTGCTGAGCTTGTGGTGCTCTGAAGGGTAGTTAAGAGTGCAACTGATTCATATGGGCTTAGTCAGCTGGTCAATGGTATGCTGATTGTTCATGTGGTGCAAGAGGATGTGGTTCGAAGAGAGTCAGTAACGTCCTGCATCTAAACTAAAACAAACACCATAACGCTCTTAGCAAAGCTCTACAACTTAGATTAAACGGTCTATGATTTTGAAAGAAAATTACCTAGCATTAAGATCACCTCAATGTTAATTACCTTGAGGAATATTTAACTTTAATCACCACCAATATATGACTGCTGTGGTCCTGTCTCTGATGACTGGTCCTGTCCTCTCTCTGAACCAAGAGACCAGAGCATGGGTTTTTAGAGTGTAGCTGTGATCCTTGAAGATTGAGATGGATGCCATCCTGCTTGAAAGAGTCATAATGCTCCCATAAAAGATTAAAATTGTCAATAAAAACCACACAGTGTTTCTGCAAATCAGTGGAAAGCCACGTGTGGAGACTCAGAAGCCTGAAGAAACGCTCATATTCCACAAGCTTTGCAATAATCTTAGTTTTGACTGTGGACTTGTTGTGGTGGGTGTCCGTTGTTTCCATTTATAAGCTAACCTGAGGTAGTGTTGCACACAGTTGACACTGTAGGGAAGTGGGGAGAGACGGCGCTCAGTGCAAATAAACCTCACATCCTTTAAACCATTTGAAGAAAATCCAACCCTCAACAGTAACTTTGTCAATGGAAATAAAAAGTGATGAATAAATTAAAACAATGCATTATATGCTTCAGAACCTTATTTAAATTGTTAATTTGGCTTTTTTTAAACAAAATTCATTGAGGTGGAGGAGTAATGACCCTGACCTCTGCAGTGGGTAATACAGAGGGCCTACTGATAAAATGTAACTGACTTCGCTGATACCAGTTCTCCCTCCAAACTAAAGTGAAAAGTTGGCAGCCTTGTAATGGCAATAAATCCTAAGAATCTAGTGGTATATTTCTTCATATATAATAATCATATACATGATTGACATTCTTTCAGATGTCAGAGTGATTAGATTTTTCTGATTCTCTTGTCATTTGATTCGAAGAATAAACATATAATTGTAATACTACGTGTGGACATTTATTCATTATTTTTAACTTTACATATCAACATATTGAAAGCAGAAAATCAAATATATCATGGTAACACTGAGGGTCATCATTCTCTACAGGACTCACCACATTTTGTATTACAAGTCAGTATGTTATCAATTATAAAGTTATTGTTAAAATTATGTATATTATTTTTAAAAATACTTTTGTGACCATAAACCCACTATTTGGAGCCTGTGCTTCTTCCTCTTGTGATCAACGAGGGGAAATCATCTAATATTTCACTGAAAAACAAAGATTAGAGAAAAGTCCAAGAAACCGAAGACAGATTTGTGCATCAACTTTGTTTTTCTTCTTTTCTTCTCTCAGGACCTCCACTTGTCAGTAGTAATCTGCAATACAGATGATGATAAGATAAGATAAGATAAGATAAGAAAACCTTTATTTGTCCCGCAATGGGGAAATTGCAGTTTGCAGCAACATACAGAAAGGACAGAATAAGAGATAACAAGAGCAAAGAGTAGCTTATAAAAGATAAATAATGAAATAAAGTAGCATTGCACAGATTGGTGTCAAACTGGTGTTTTGAAGTTTTTACACCTTGTGGTGTAATACTATTGCACATATTAAGAGTGTTCGCTGTGGAGTCTAACAGCAGCAGGAAGGAAAGACCTGCTATATCTTTCCTTCACACATCGAGGGTGAAGCAGTCTGTCACTGAAGATGCTCCTCAGTTCTGTCAGGTCACCATGCAGGGGGTGGGACTCATCGTCCAGCATGGATGACACTTTAGCCAGGACTCTCCTGTCACCCACCTCCCACACTCAGTCCAAAGGGCAGCCCAGGACAGAGCTGGACTGATGATGATGATGATGATGATGATGGATTTTTTCATTCAAGTTAACTTATGGCACCTTAACTGAACACTATCCTATCATAGGATTTGTAATATTCAGCCAATACAGTTCCTAGCTTCTGATTTGGACCATATGTCAGCCAGATACTGTTTCATAGGGAATTCAAATAAATGCTCAACCTCCACCCACAGACACCCTAAACCCCACACCAATCCCACCCTCACTGTAGCATGAAAGGCCAGTTTTGTATGTGGGACAAGCTGTATGAAGGTGTAAACTATTTTATTGTGTCATTATCTTTTTGGTAGTTATTCCAGTGAATTTATTAATAATGAGTTCCCTATATTAATACCCAATGTCAGCCAGTAGATGGTGGTGTTTACTGCTGTTAGGTGAAAATGAATGACAGAAAAAAAAATCCTTAGTAGTGATGCAGAGGTCAGAAACAAAATGCCAAAAATACAAATATAAAACTGTGGAGCAGTAAATGAACAGAAATGTCATTTTTCCATCATGTTTTCCATCGTTTGAGGTTCGACTGGAGCTTTTTCTTCTTTTTTTAAAGTCACTTCTTCTTCTGCAATGGCAACTGCAGAATTGGTTTCGGCTACTGTTCATCTCAATAAACCCACCCTTAAAATTCACCTGATTTTCTCTAAATTTGGTTAAAATACGTCTTACATTTGTACTGTCAAAGTAGTGTGTGTGTGTGTGTGTGTGTGTGTGTGTGTGTGTGTGTGTGTGTGTGTGTGTGTGTGTGTGTGTGTGTGTGTGTGTGTGTGTGTAGTGTGAATAACTGCTTAACCAAACATGTTTTGTGTCTTTTGCAATCGATAAGTTGAGATGTTCCTTTATTGATCCCCTGTAGGAGAAATTTAGATCTGGCAGAGCAGCACAAGGGAATGTAGTGCAATGAGTAAAGAAAGAGAATAAAAATATAATAAAATACAAAATATAATAAAATACAAAATATATACAATAATAATGGATTAGGGTTCAAATTCACTAAGTCCACTGCACTTTTATTTATTACTCTTAATACATCAGTAATATTATCCGTGTATATAAAATGCATTTTTCAAATTACAAATGACTTGAATTTTAATCAAATACATATTTACTTTGCATTTGATGAGTGAGTATTTGTAATTTGTAATAAGATACTTTTGATTAATTTGTGATCATCTCTGGATGTCAGTCAGAGCTCTTTCAGACTGCCTCAACCAGCAGTATCCCACAGACCACTGTCTGTGTTCAAGAGCAAGCATGGCCACCAAAACCATTTATTAGTTTCTGTACATACCCTTACCTGCCTGTGTGAGCCCTTCAAGCTAAGATATTAGTCTCTTCTTTTCATATTTCTGCTTTATCTTAAAAACTTTGTCTGGAAAATGGAATCTGAAGCAAATCAGCTCTGATTTGTTTTGAGTCACTTGAATTCAACTGTTTCAACATTAGATATCGACGTAGCTGAGTTCAGGTACCTGTGTGTGGGTTGTAGGTATTTCCAATGTTTGTGACAACATGTCTGAAGAAAATGATCGTGGAAAAGGGTGCGCTGCCTGTATCAAACACAGAAAGCCACCTGTTTGACTGAGAGAGAGCGGTAGCATTGTATATATATTACAGTCTGTGGATACCCCACTGTGACTGTTCTTTGTATTTGTGTTCTATCCACCACATTAGGTAGATTTTATATTACAAACATACTTTCAGAATGAAAATGTTAAAATATTGAATTGCTATTTTTGACTTTTCACCAAAAAAGTGACGAAATCACAGAAACATTTATCTCTGAAGAAAACAGTTAAAAACTATTTATTGTTACAGAAGCTGAAAACTGTTTCAAACAATTTAGCTAATCAAGTTTCTGAAGAAAATATTTCACAATTCAATCACAACAATTATCTAATCACTCATCTAATCTTACAGCAAGAATTATTTACTGGTATTTACTAGTATTGCTGA